TGACAAACTCCTAATGGCTTATTGTGAAGGTGGTGAGAAAACAGTTTTGATAATAACAGCCATGCCACGTTTATGAAATATGGAAATAAGTTGTTGACACCTGAAAACCAATGGGGACAACATGGAGAGATGGTATTACGAATAGATATAAAAAGAAACCAGGAAAGAAAACATCCTAATGGAAAATGGTTCAAAATAATAACTTCAGTAGAAAAATCACTCAGGGTTTTCCACTTGAAGGCATTCTCATTTAAATGGACTGTTCTCTTTCAGCTGTCTAGAGGGACTTTCAGTAATGTAACCAAGTTAAAATAACTATGAAAGGAATAGAGGAAACCCTGAATTAAACTGAGGACAAGAGTGAAATCTGTTTATTGGTTGTAGTATCCAAAACTGGAGTTCTGGTTTAGTTAGTGGCAACATTGCTCTTTAAGGAAGGTGGGGGGGGTTAAAGGAAAGGGGAGGAGGGATATTAATTCACTAAAATATGCAGTGATCAAATTTAAAGCCTCCACCAGTTTTTCTGTGCTACTTTTTTGCACTGAATGACTACAGATTGACTCTCCTCCAGAATGCTTTAGCTCCCTCTTCTCTGAGCATTCCCTAAATACCACGTATTTGGAGGAGACATTGATTCCCCCCCCCAAAAAAACTAAAGTCTTTCCTCTTTGGTTGGAAAAATAAGTATTTAGGCATCTTAAAAGGCCAGCAAATTTATTGCAGCATAAGCTTTTGCAATTGGCAACTATATATGGATTTTAATTTTTTAATTTTTAAGAAACAGTTTTACACATTTGGGTCAAAATGTTAAGATTGTTTTAAGGCTGTTTACTCTGACTTCATAATATATGCAATGACTTCAGAATAAATGCATGGTGCACACACATTAAGATAAACCAAAACAATCAAGAATATTAAATGAGCATGCATAAATGACTTTTATTTTAAATTAGGATATGTATTCCTCTAGTGTGTACTTTTTTTGTCTGTACATTTAAAATCTGGTGTGTATTTTTTAAATACAGATTAGTAACTTGTGTTTGACAAAAGCAATTAAAGATATCTTAGATTAGGCAGTTGAAAGGACCAACAGGCATGTAGATAAAATGTCTCCTGATTACAAGCAACTGTTCTTTAAAGGGAGGGAACAATGAATGATAGAAAAATATTTGAGATTTTAATCAGGAGGGTAAGGCTGGTTTTGGTAGTTTATTCAAAGATAGGATCTCCGTGTTTTCATGTTGTAATGTGCATTTAAAAGGGTCTGCCTACTAGAGTCGGGAGAATATATAAACTTCATTCTATTTTATATTTTTAACTGGGTTGAGAAAGTTGCTAGTTTTCAAGATTTCTCCAAACAATCTTTAATATTTGCATGTTCATAGACATTTCTTAAGTAAAACAATTGCAGAAATAAATGCTTTTAGGGAAGTTGCAAAATTGCATTGGATACTCATTCATCAATATCTATACTAGTTAAGGACAGAAAAAGTGCATCTATCCATCGAACAATAACCCCCAAGAGAAAAAGTTTAAATATTTCTTAATATATCTTTATCTCCAAGCCTTGGAACAATTTTGTTTGTTTGTTCTTTTTAAAACTAATCAAAGGAGGTTTTTCATTTTAAGCACATGACCTGGGCTGCAATCGAAACCTGATCTGGTAGGTCACTCTGACTTTCTTAAAGGCTCAAAAACAAATAAATGGCTACGGAAGATCTCCGTGCAAGGAAAACACGTGGCATTTAGGGGATTATGCTTCTATTTACACACAACGTGGATCTTGCTAATAATGTATCTCCGGAATGTTTTAAAAAGATCAAAGTCCAGCGACTGCCATTTCCCCCACTTAAATGGCTAAGTACCTATTTTTCTAGCGCAGAATTTAATTTTAGCAGTGGTGGCGTGCCTCACATTTCTCGTTCGATCAGGAGAATCGATCTTTCCCACTCACTTCACGTTTGTGATATGTGTGTGTGTGCATTTTAAAGTAATGTTTGTTCTTAAGAAAAGAAAAACGGGAGGGGGGGGAAAGAGAGGAATCAGAAACCTGATGATGCTGATAACTCAAATCCTTCCATTCACAAGTCTGTGCAATTCAAGCTTCCGAACGAAATAGTTCTGCTCCAGCCGGCTTTTCTTTTCTCTTTCTTCCTTTTTTTTTTTTTTTGGCCATGCACACGCGGACACTCCCCCAGCAGCCATTTAAAGGGCCAGCACATTCCGGCGAGGCCACCTCTCCCGCCCCATCCCCCACCTTGCCATTTCCCTCCCACCCCCTCCTCCGCCCCCCATAGCTCCCTTGGATTGGTGGGTTGTGACTGGCATGCTTTAAAGATTCCTCCCCCCACCACAACCACCTTCCGCCCCCCATCCCTCCTGGATAATGGCAGGGACCAGCGTTGCAGAGGGACAATTGGCGCCTCTTCACAGCCAACTTGGCTATTACGCACACACACACACCCTTTAATTTCACCCCCCTCCTCCTCTGGAAAGGAGGCATTAAAAGTGAGGGGGAGGCGGGTGGGAAAGGGCTGCGAGCCACCATCTTCCCCTTTGTCCCCCACTCCCTTCTCAGGAAACCATCCTTCGGCTGCTGATCCCTGGCAGAAAGTGACTGAAATAGATTTTGGCGACTTCGCGCGCCTCGCCAAAGGCGCACCACTAGCTATCCATGCCCCGTTTCGTACGGGGGGACTTACTTCCGAGTAAGCGTGCCGTAGAATCGGGCCGTTAAAGAAATAAGGGGGGGGTTCCCCCTCAGATCTCCAGGGTTTAAAACTAGAGCATCGGGCGGAGGGGCAATAAAACCAAACTTTACCCCACCCTCTCTTTTATTTCAATAAATTGAACCAGATCTTCCCCCACCCCAAAAAGAACACACGTGGAAGGATGACTTTAAAAAGAAGAAGGAAGAGGAATCGGGGGAGACGGGGCGCACATGTTGCCTCGTGCGAGACAAGGGTTAAGCGGAAGCAGCCGTCCAATCGGCGCCCTTTTGGTTGGTGGAGAAATATATATTTAATTTCGATGGCTTCCCACCGATGTCCATTCATGGAACCAAATGCCTGCTCGCGCAATATTGCAGGCATCGTGTCCAACAACCGCCCTCGCCCTTTCCTAGATCCTAAACTCCTCTTGCCCTTTTGCTGATATGTGAGGTATTTATTGACGAACCAAAACAAAAACAGGAAACCTATAAATGTTTAGGAGGAAAACTACTCATCGAAAAGTTGCAAGGCAAAGGAGAGCGGCTAGCATTGCATTTGCATTCCATCTATTTGGAGCGAGCTGCTGCCTAGTCAGTACACAACATTATTATTATTATTATTATTATTATTATTATTATTATTATTATTTCAGAAAGTTCTAACAGGGTTGATACATGGTTATTATTGTGGTTATTAAATCGCTTTTATGCTTGCGGAGGAGAAGCACCAGCTGGATGGCAAGAGGAGGAGGAGAAGTGCCCATTTCAGATTCGTGCGTTTCCAACGCACCCGCCACAATTTCTTAAGAAACGCTAACGTGACATTTAAAGTTCGCAAACGTGTGAACCTTTCTTTCTGGCCCGCGGGATGCACAAATGAAGATCGTGTGCTGCGGTATCACAGCCACCCACAGGATGTTTCCATTTTATATCTTATCTATCTATCATCTGCATATATATATATATATATATATATTACTGTTTATCTATATATCTATATATGTGTGTGTGTGTTGGGGATTCAACAGTAATTCTATAATTATTATTGCACTAATAATGCCTCAACAACTCCTCACACAAACCAAATTCCAATATGGCTCTCGTCCATGCTCACCACCCCCCACGATCGCATCTGGTCATCTTCGCCTTTTTTTCTCTTCAACCCCCCCCCCTTCCTAAGGCGATCCCCAAATCGTGCGGATGGGCAGAGCGAAGCTCCGGGTGCACCGCGCGCGCTTAGCTTGCGCGCCTGCTTGCTCTCCTTCCTTCCTCCGCCCTCTTTCCTCGGGGCGAGCCAGAGCGCCCTTTGAATTAAGTTTACACCCAGAAAATCTCATTCAAACTCTTTAAGAAGAAGCTCATGGCTCATGAGGGGGAGGGGTGGGAGAACCGGCTGGGGGAAGAGGGGGGAGGGGGGTCGCGATGGGGGTTGGGTCTCGTCGCAGCCCTCCAGCAAAAGCGGTGGGGTGGGGAGGAGAGGAGGCGCGAGAGGTGGTCCTACTACACAGATTTGGATTCTACAAGGAAATGGAGAAAACGGGTTGTTGTTTTTTAAGGGGAGGGAAGGAAAGATGGGCAAAATGTAAATAAAATAGTATTTGCAGTTGGGGGGGTAGGAAAAAAAAAGAGAGCGAGCAATGGAAAGCTGCCGCGCCTCTGCACATGAGCGCGTCTGTCGGTGCGTGCGCGCCCCTCCCCTCGGAGGGGTGGTCCCTTTTTGGGGCTCCACCACGTGGCTTCCTCTTGCAAACATTTTCACTCATTTTTCCAGGTCGATTTTATTTAGGGGCGGCGCCAAAGGCTGCCTTCAGCCTCAGAGACGTCCTATGTGGTGTGTGTGTGAGTGTGTGTGTGAGTGTGACACATGAGCTGCGACTCAAAAGGAGTTGGGGGGCCGCTGGAAAAGGAAAAAAAAAGAGCCATTTTCCCAAGACCGCCATAGCAAGTTGCATCCAGCCCCACCAGCCCCATTGATTCCGTAAAACAGGGAACATTTCCCCCCCTCTTTCCTCTTAGATCACCCCCACCTTTCCTCCCCACACCCAAAATAACAGGCTTTTCCTACTTGCTGGGCCTACAAGATTGAATAAGAAACTTTTTTTTTTCAAAAAAAAAAAAAGAGAGGTAGGATTTTTTTTTTTAAGAATCTGTTGAAAGTTTCACACCCACCCACCTACCATCGCCCTCCTTTCCCCACCCCGGTGTGTGAGATAATATATTTTCCCTCCCACCTCCCGTGACTCCCTCCCTTTTTGGACCTACCCCACATTTTGTGCAAAACGCATCAGCCATGAACAAGCTGTATATTGGGAACCTCAACGAGAACGTGACTCCGGCGGATCTGGAGAAAGTCTTCAACGACCACAAGATCTCCTTCAGTGGCCAGTTCTTGGTGAAATCTGGCTACGCCTTTGTCGACTGCCCAGATGAGCAATGGGCCATGAAAGCCATCGAAACTTTTTCTGGTAAGCCAATGGATCTCTCTTGTCTTCCCCACCCCATCCCCCCGCTCTCTCCTTCTGAAGCCGTAGTGGGTTTAGTTTTTTTGTTTTTGTGGGGTTTTTTTTGAGATTTTAAAAAAATTTATTTAAAAATTTAAAGAAACACATTTCTTTTTTTAAAACAACAACAGCAGCAGCAGCAGCAGTTAACTACCTAGCGCTCCCAGTTCTGGCGACCCTCTTTTCCCTTTCCAAGATCCACACAATGTGGTTTTGCAAAGATGCGTTCAGTCACACTTCTCCGGTACTCGTGCGTCTTCCGCCCTGTTTCTTTTCTACCTCTGGGGTGTCATCAATGAAAGTTCACTTTCGTTTCGTATTTCTCCCCCACTACCCTCCCATCCGCAACTTGGGGTACTTGGGGACACACACACCGCTTTGCTCCCCCCTTCCCCCTGTCTATCTGACCCCGAGTCGAGAACCATGTTTCTTGTGTGTCTTGCGTAATACACAACTTGTAGGGCCTAGGATTTCTCCCATCTGCTTCCAGTGGATTTCTAGAGGGCTCGCAGAATTCTTTTATTTGTTTGAATTCCTCCTCCCTCCCACCCAGAATGTTTCCTCTTCTATCATAGTGGATCCCCCTTAAACCGTCGTCGTTTTTTTAGCATTCACCTTTTTTATATATATGAAAAAGGGTAAAATTTGGCAAACCCCCTCGCAACGTGAAAACGCGCACACAAAAAGGGCGAGAATGACAGTTTTCTCTTTTGCTCCCGGGAAGTCTTTGGACGCCCCCCTCCCACAAATCAGACCCCGATCTCTCTGGAGATGAAAGGGGGGGATCAAATCAAAATATTAAGCCCCTTTCCCTTAATTCGAGGTTCCATGATCAACCCCCCCCCCGGCCTCGGTGGTTCGTCTTGCAAGGCCATTTGGGTTTTGCCATGGGATCAAATTCTCTATTTCTGTCCTTTAAAAGAGTGTGAGGTGGTTTGTGGGATGGGAGAGGGGCTCCTCTGGAAGTGGGAGGTGGGGAGGGAAGACGGGAGTTGTTGGACTTTGGCCATTTTGATTTTAAACTGGGTTTTCCTGGGGCATGTGATGTGTGTATTAGCGCGAAGGTCGCCATGCTGCTAAGAGATTGAGAAGAGGCAGAGAGGAACTAGCAAGCAAAGCTGATGGTTGCCTTTTGCTGGAAAAAAACCTCTTTTTTCCCCCTTACTCGAAAGGAACACATTAGAATTTAGTTTCCCCATCCTTTTCTAGATTCACGTTCCTTCTTCCCAGCTGAATACAGTTTTCATGGATTTTCTTATTAATTTTTTAAAAAAAGATACAGCCGAACAAGTTGAGGTGGAATAAATCGACGGAATAGGCCTTGCAAACCTTAAAATTGCCTTTCCTGTGATTAAACAGATCTTCCAGCATATGAAGGAGGAATGAATTGAATGTGCAAAAAGTAGGGTCATGGGGAAACCTCCATTATTGGTTTCTTCCATTGTTTAGTTAGTCCCCTCAATTTGAAATCCAGTTTTTTGTTTTATCCAGAGGAAAACGCATCTCAAGGCAGTGGGATTTCTGGTGAAGGCAATCTGAATTCTCCAATAAAATTGAATTAAAATATGAGGAATGGGAGCAGAAATTGAGCTGTACGTGAGAATGGTGTCCAGATTTCCATATGTACATGTTTTTTTTAAAAAAGACACTTGTGTTTTTAGGCAAAGTGGAGCTGCATGGAAAACAACTTGAGATTGAACACTCAGTACCTAAAAAGCAAAGGTAATTCAGTTGTTTAATTTCTTTAAAATTTTCCATGTTGAGAAAATTCCATGTTTGCTTAAAGGAAAAGAAGAAAACCATGTTTTTAAAATTCCCCAGAGTTGTGCAGACAAAACTAGGTGTATTAGCATTTTCAATCTCTGCTCTGAAAGGAAACTATTTTGAAGAGAGCAGAAAACAAAATTGGTGGCTAATTTGATCCACCACCCCCATCCAAATTCCTAGAGTTACTTTTGCGGAGCAATCCTATGCAAGAAGCTGGTGCAAATTGGTGTAAATTAAGCTGTCATAAAGTTACACCAAATCCAAACCCTGTTTAGCAGTGGGGCTGCTGCTCTGCTTAATCCTGAACGAGGGAAAAACTTTTAAAATAGTGCTTTTACACTGTATTGCCAGATCACTTGGCTGAGCCAAATGGGTTTAGGATCCTGCCTTAAGCCCCTCTCTCTGGTCCCACCCCCACCACGCCCCTTTTGGGGAGACTTACACAAGCCTCAACTCATCCAGGCTGAGCAACATACTCTGATGTGTCTTGAGCCAGGGTTGGGGCCTTGAGCTTGACTTCTGTATCCTATGCAGCTCATCCTAGTGGATCTTGCCCATAGGATTGCCCCCTTAAAGTACCAGAGGGAAAAGAGATAAAATCAGAATTCAGTGCATTCAGAGGGAATTTGAAAATTGGGAGGCAGAGGCGCTCTTCTGTAAATTTCAGGGCCATTTACTGTAAATAAATACCTACTTGAACAGACTTTCCTCTGCAATGCAACCTTTTAATGCTTTGATTTAATTTAATTTAATTTAATTTAATGCTTTGTTTTAATGCTTTAATGTATTGGTTTTTTTCTCATTTGCTGCCCCTCTGAATAATTCTCAAACTTTACACCTTGGTGGAGATGTAGTTATCTCATCATGCTTTAATGTGGTATTAACATATTCAATATGTGTACTTGCTGCTTGTACAATGGTTTGGTTGCCTGGATTAAAAATGGCAGATTTGGATAGGCATGGTGAAGCAAAAATCACATGGTGTGGAGAAAAGTTAAAATTACTCTTCATTCCTGTGAAATCTAGGAGACACAAACATCATAATGCGCTGTTCCACCAGAATTCAGTGTGAATTTGTGTTTTCCAGGCAGTTGTTTAAAAAAATAAAGGGGGTGGGATGAAATGTGAGTGTTTGTTACTATATAGTTCAATATATTCTGTTTTGTGATTCACATCACAATTTCTCTTTCTCCTTTTGGGGAGTGTAGATAACTTGGACTTTCAAACTTTGTAGCAGAATGTGCTGATGGAGGATAACATTTCTTTTTTATGAATGACTTCCCTCAGCTCCCTCTGGATTGGAAGGCTCCCGAAATCTATTCGATAATTTATTTTATTGTAGCAACAGGCATGGGCCTTGTGTAATGGGTGATCAATAGTGCTTGTAACTGTCTTTGTGGCATGGTACACAGTGTAGCTGTGGTTTAAAATGACAATTGGGAGAAGGATTTTTGGGCAGGCAATTCTAGAATGAAACAAAGCAAAATAAACATTTGGGAGCTGGGATTGGGTGTTGGAGGGAGAGAAAAGGAACTTGATTATTCTTGTTTCCTGTTCAGCGCTTTCAAAAAAAGTCTGTCAGTTGTGTAGAAATTTGATGATTTTGAGGAGTTGCTGATTCTCTTAAGTCTTGCTAAGTAATGCTAAGAAATCTACCATATACAAATTAATCACTTGAAAGATTTTGTAATTCAAAGCACATTGTGGTTATATGGGTGTAAGTAGGAAGAAAAATTAAACCTGGTAGTAGACTTGAGGCAGAGAAATCAAACAGATCCCAGACGACTTATCACTGGGATATATTTTCACCTCCATGCATCTAAACATCTGCCTTCTTAATAGTCAGTGGCCATGTTGGAGTTTTCAAAGTCTTCCTTAGAAGAGTTGGTCTGACGTCATCTGTTGCATGCCAGGATTTTATTTGTAGGTTCCCTTAAAATACATTTTTAACCTTGTGCTCAGGATGTGTGATAAAGTGACTTCAATAGTTTCCCAATAGGGATTTTGCATTTCTTTCCTATAGAAGTGAGAGTAAAAATGTTGAATCTTTTGGGCAAGGTATTAAGGGCAAGAAAGGAGAGCCTGTATTTCATACAAGATCACTTTTCCATTGATAAAAATGTATGGTCTGCTAGCTTGAATTTTTACAGGGCTAGGGTGTTTTCTTTCACTTGTATCGAGACTTGATTTTCTTGTTTGGGATGATACCCAGCTAGTTAATTAAATATGATTAGCATAGTCTCAATAACTGTGAGAGTTGTTTTCCCCTTCTCTCTAAATCTGTAAAAAATGTCACCTTTTAAGTGGAAGAAAATTCTAGCCAAACAGAGGCATGCTGAGCTGTATTTGTATCCTTTCAGTTTATTTTTTTTTTTAATGAAGTAAAACCACAGTTAAATATAAATAAAGCTTGGCTTATTTCTTGAGCCTCATTTACCAGAAGTTGCCCCAAAATACTCAGATTTGAAAGGAATGATTTCTAGGAATGATTATAATCTACACTGCCATTGACATGGCATGCCTACCATTTATAAACTCTGCCACCTGGCTATCTTAAATAGTAATTAAAACACGTGCAGAATGTGCTACTGGCCTCTGTAAAAATGGTTGGTCCTGGATATATCTAAAAGGGCTTATCTCCACCACAATTGTGAATGATTTCAGCTAGTTTTTAATGAATTGGTTGTTGCAGGATGTTATATTTTTTAAAAATGAAGCTCCACAAATACCAAGTTGAGATACCAAGCACAGAGTTAACATTTTCTTAATATGTGAGATGCACAGATGGATAAGTAAATTTGTGATTTCCTACTAAGAAAAACTGAACTATATACAAGTAAAGCAATTACTTAATGAGAAGTCTTGTTGGGTCTTTCTGGGACTGCAATATCTCTACTTAATCTTGACATTCTTGTTAAAAGTTGCATTTACTTACCAGAAAGTATTCCTGAGTTGCAACGTGAGTGTAGATTTATATATATTTAAAAAGACTGTGTGTGTTTGGCGTGTGTGTTTTCAGTTATAACTTTATTGAAAAAAGGACATGGGGTTTTTTTTTTTTTGCAATTTTATTCCTTAAAAGTCAGCAAATTCCTTTGGTGGTGGAAAGGGTTAATTAAAACAACCTCGAAGATGTTTTAAGGACTCAAGAATGTTAAGAAATGTTTGGAGGTTAGGGGTGGGGTTGTCTCAGACTGAAAAGATTGAAGTGGATAGAGTTGTGGGGTGGGGTGGGGGACCAGGACAAATGTGAATGGATAAGAACGAGAGGAGGGAAAATTAAGTGAATCCATCAAGCAAACATTCCAAATATGAAAGACTGGAAGTGACTAGCATAGAGAGAATGAAATTTAGTAACTAAGGAAACAGTGATTATACCTCTGTAGTCAAAATTCTAACTAATAGGGACATGTTGCATGTGATGGTTTTAAGGCAGTTTTTCTACAGGTATAGCTAAGCTTTGTTATTCACAAAAGTAGCACACTTATTAATTATTAGGATTTTTGTTGTTGTTTGGGGTTAACTTCTGTAGAATTATGAGAAAACTTGCTTAAGGTATCTCGTCAATACATGTGCAGTGTCTTAAGTTAGGCTCTTTTTAATAGAATGTGTGAAAGCTTAGAGTAGATGTGTAGTTTTCTACAAATTTAGCTGAAGATCGTGTGTCTGTGAGCTTTCTATCCTTACAACAAACAAGGAACTAACAGGGCAATCCTATGCATGCCTACTCAGAAGGAAGTCACATTGAGTTTAATGGAGCTTATTCCCAGGGTGATAGTGTGTAGAGGTTTGCAGCCTTAAGTTTAATGGGAGAATCTACAAAAAAACATTTGCTTTAATTTGTTACTGTTCAGTTCCCCAACAAAAGGGTTAACTTTACACTTGTTTTGCATCAAAAGGAAAGAAAGTTGGAATCATGCTAAAAGCTTTCACTTAAATGAGCTTAAACGTACTATTTCAAAATGGTTCTGTTTTGCTTTTTGCATACCTGTTTTGGTAGATTTACCTGTTTGGTATTGCTTCATATATTTTTTTGGTTACAGGCAACAGTGTCTTTCCTAGTGAATTGTTGGGGGTATAAAAGTAAGCTCATAAAATGAAATGGGTATTAGGGACAGGAAAGGCAGAAATGACGTGTAGACTTAAAATCTCTTTTGCAATACAGTGGTACCTCAAGTTACATACCCTTCAGGTTACATATGCTTCAGGTTACAGACTCCGCTAACCCAGAAATAGTACCTCGGGTTAAGAACTTTTCTTCAGGATGAGAACAGAAATCGTGCTCCAGTGGCACGATGGCAGCAGGAGGCCCCATTAGCTAAAGTGGTGCTTCAGGTTAAGAACAGTTTCATGTTAAGAACGGACCTCCAGAACGAATTAAGTACTTAACCTGAGGTACTACTGTATTGACTGATTTCCAATCCAGGAACTGTTCATAGAGTTAAAGATGTGCCCCCAAAGTAGCCCCACTTAGAGGCAATAAAAATGGGAAAAGGTTGGTGTGAAGCAGTTACCCCTAAGTGGCAAGAGAGCCAACATGTGACAGGGAAAGTTTCACGTTTCGCTTCATTGCTGGATCGCTTCTATTGATCCCATGCTGCATACTTTTTCTGCATGACGCACTGCTAATTCACATGAGGGAGATCCCATGGATCAAGAAAAGTATGTCTTGTCTTCAGCTTGGACCTGGTACCTTTTGAGTAATGTGAATTAATTGGATCCTCCTGGTTGAAATTTTTAAAGTTAGAGAGGCACAGGCAGTCCAAACCTATGCATTTTACTCAGAGGTAAGTCCCAATAGGGCTAAGTCTCAGGGAAACTGCAGCCTTAGGAGAATTATAAGCACCTATTTAGTTCTTACCAGTTTCAGCTGAAGAGGGAACAAGGGGGCAGTTTTTCACTGGTTAGAAAAGTGTTCATATTTTACATAAAGGAAAAATAGAAGTTTTAGGAGAATTCACAAGTAATTCTTGTTTTGCATTTGCAGGGAAACATACCTCAAATGATAAATGCCATTCTTCCCAAGCCCCTTTTTATGTATTCATTTCCCCTCAAACTTCCCAAAATACCCAGAAAAATGGATGCTTTTCAGAATTGTGGCAGCAAACAGTTGAGAAAGTTTGGAAAGTGGAAGAGATTCTTGAAAAAAATAAGACAAATTTAGCATTTAAAAATCCCAAGCACCTAAGATAGAGAATCAACTCCCAAGACCCCTTATAGGAGGTTCTGTTTATTGGTAGCTAATAACTAGCCTGCTCAGCAGATACATGCTGACTTTATGAGTTGAATGCGTTTCCCTTGGTGACACCACAAAAGATTTCTTAAGTCTTAATTCCTATGCACACTTACCTGGGAGTCAGCCCCACTGAGCATAGTGGGGCTTGCCTCCAAGGAAATGTGCAGGTTATACAGATTGCACGGCATGCCCTATTAAATTTAGTGAACTTTTGTGGGGGTTTTTTTTAAAGGCAGGGGGAAGCATTGGTGGGAAAGTTCAGAGTTTCCTGAGAGGGTAGTGACACTTGCAACAAAGCAGCAAATATTTGCTTTAGAAGATGCGTAGAATGATAATTGGTTCTAGAAGTTGTGATACCTACGAGTTGTCGCCCTCTAAAAAGATGGCATGCTAAAGATCATAGAATCATAGAATCATAGAGTTGGAAGAGACCACAAGGACCACAAGATTTGGGAGAAGAAAGTGCAGCTTCTTAGTTGTACAGTGGTACCTTGGGTTAAGTACTTAATTGGTTCCGGAGGTCCGTTCTTAACCTGAAACTGTTCTTAACCTGAAGCACCACTTTAGCTAATGGGGCCTCCTGCTGCCGCTGCACGATTTCTGTTCTCATCCTGAAGCAAAGTTCTTAACCCGAGGTACTATTTCTGGGTTAGTGGAGTCTGTAACCTGAAGTGTATGTAACCTGAAGCATATGTAACCCAAGGTACCACTGTAATTTGTTTTCAACTTTACACCACGTACTGTATAGTTAAATGGCAGTGTCCATGATTTCTGGGGTCTAAGATGCTGCATTTATGAAGAGAGGAAGGTACTTGTGCATATTGGTGAGGCAGAACTTTGAAAACCAGGATCCTTTACCCGGGACAGGGGAATTGTGCCCTTTTCTTTTTGAGCAGTCTGTTCCCCCACATTGCAGCTTGCTGCTTGAGAAACATTAGCCCCATGTCTTCCCTTGGGTTCACAGCATTTGCCAAATGGTTCTTTGGGTCCTGTTGTCATGTGCAGTTCTCTGCATCTTTGAGGACCTCTGACTTAGACTAGGCCAGGATGATGGTTTGGGTTTGGATGTGTGGGTATTCCTACCACAAGCCAGTGCGTATTTAGCTAGGAGTAAACCTTGTTTGTGGACGCAGGTGGCACTGTGATCTAAACCACAGAGCCTAGGGCTTGCCGATTAGAAGGTTGGCGGTTCGAATCCCCGCGACGGAGTGAGCTCCGTTGCTCGGTCCCAGCTCCTGCCCACCTAGCAGTTTGAAAGCACGTCAAAGTGCAAGTAGATAAATAGGTACCGCTCCCGCGTTTCCAAGCGCTGCTCTGGTTTGCCAGAAGCTGCTTAGTCATGCTGGCCACATGAACTGGAAGCTGTCTGCGGACAAACGCTGGCTCCCTCGACCTATAGAGCGAGGTAAGCGTACAACCCCAGAGTCGTCTGCGACTGGACCTAACGGTCAGGGGTACCTTTACCTTTAAACCTCATTTTACTTAGTCGGATGCAGTTCTGAGTAAACAATTTGGTATTGTGTTTTGGGGTAGGGTTCAGTTGTAGCAGCCCAGTTGTGTAACAAATAGGACTTCCCTTTCCTCCCCTCCCCAGTAGCAGGGAAGCAGAATCCCATCATAATGGGATTATAAATAACAGAACCTGCTATTCCCAAGGAAGATAGTACAGTGGTACCTCGGGTTACAGACACTTCAGGTTACATACGCTTCAGGTTACAGACTCTGCTAACCCAGAAATAATACCTTGCGTTAAGAACTTTACCTCAGGATGAGAACAGAAATCGTGCACCAGCAGCGCAGCAGCAGCAGGAGGCCCCGTTAGCTAAAGTGGTACCTCAGGTTAAGAACAGTTTCAGGTTAAGAACAGGTCTCCAGAATGAATTAAGTACTTAACCCGAGGTACCACTGTAGTGAATTAGTGAACTAGACGACCCACAGGGTCCCTTCCAACTCTACAATTCTATGATGCATTTGGTGGTGTTTTTGCCATTCTGTGGGATGAGCAGTGTCTATTTATCGGAACCTCAGTGTCCCTTTTTCTTATTGCTTGTCTTAATACTTGAGTTTTGTTTTGAAGGCTGTGGATCTGCTAGGAGAAGGTGGGAAACTTGTTTGGCCCCCAAGATCATTCATGTGTTCTCAGCTTCAATTGCAGCATCTCTTAGTGTTGCTGAGAGAAAGTCCCCCATCTGAGACCATGGAGAGATGTGGCCAGTCATTTTAGACCATCATGGACCAGTGCTGTGACTCATAGATATAAGGCCCTCTTCCTACATTAAAGTGGTGGTGGTCCTATTTTATGAAGTTCTGGTGGGAAATGTCAGGTTTCAGGAATTCTTGCAATCGTAAAGGGTATGGAAACCAAGCCTTGTGGGGAACGGTTGAGGGAATTGGGTATGTTTAGCCTGGTAAAGAGGAGACTGAGAGGAGATATGATAGCCATCTTCAAGTATCAAAATGGCTGTTTTCTCCTGCTGCGGAGGGTAGGATCTGAATCAGTGGACTCTCCTTCCTTGGAGGTTTTTAAGCAGAGGTTAGGCGGCCATCTGCCATGGATGCTTTCATTGAGATTCCTGCATTGCAGGAGGTTGGACTAGATGACCCTTGGGACCCCTTCAAACGCTACATTTCTGTGCTCTCTAATGCTGCATTCTTTGGTGTATTAGAGCAAGAGAAAAAGTTAGGATTCTATCCCAAGTGATGCAAAGGAGATCCACTTTCCTTTCAGCCGAGTGCTTAAGAACATCTTCTTTAATATCACTTTTTTGAAGTCTGTAGTCAAAGGTGTTTAAAAACCTCTGCTGGACGCTTGATTAATGGAACAATCCAACTAAGAAGATTCAGATTTAAGAACGGGTTTAAATCAGTTTATGCCTCAGCAGCTAGTAAGACGTTCGATGTACACACAGGCTTCGTATATACAGCATGCCTTGGTTCTCAAACTTAATCCGTTCTGGAAGTCCGTTCGACTTCTGAAAATGTTCGAAAACCAAGGCACTGCTTCCGGTTGGCTGCAGGAGCTTCCTTCAGCCAATCGGAAGCCGCATCAGACGTTCGGCTTCCAAAAAACGTTCGCAAACCGGAACACTCACTTCCAGGTTTGCAGTGTCTGGGAGCCAAAACGTTCAAGTCGCAAGGCGTTAGACAACCAAGGTATGACTGTATGTGTAAAACAGTTTTAAAGCACATTGCTTTCCTTCAAAGAATCCCGGGAACCATAGTATACCCCTCACAAAACTACAATTCGCAATCCTTAATGAGCTATAGGATTCTTTGGAGCAAAACAGTGTTCTTTAAATGCATGGTGTGAATGCAGAACATGTCACCATTAAATCTCTGGATTTAAGCCCTGGTCTCATTTATTTCACTGGGACTTAGGCATGTTTTTCATGAAAGATGAATTCAAGACAAATATTTTGTCTAGATCTGAATAGACATTTCTTTTTTGCGGCTTTTGCTGATCCCACTTCCCAACTAATGCAGAATACGTATGTATGACAAAATTGCCTCCTGACAATCTTAGGAAAGAAGTTGAATCAAAAACATGTTTTGGCTTGATCCAGCCTTGTGTTGAACCTTCCAGAAGACTAACTCAGCTTGTGCAAATTCACTGACTTTGGGCTGGGGGAAAAAGTTTACATGAACCTGTAGAAGATTGGTTGGAAGCCAATAAGATACAGAATCGCCTTGAGGAATCTTGAGAGTCAGATTCCTGCTATTTGCATAGTCTCGGGCGAGTCACTATTTCTCATTCTGAGATCCCCATCAGCAAAATAGAAATAATTCTGACTTACCTCTAAGGAGAATTACGAGAACACAAACAAGAGTAAGACTCTAGAGAGCTGGCCAGTTAGAGAGCTAGATAGCCCAATGGTTAAAAGATGGTTGTAGAAGAATGGTGGTTCTGAGGGTTGTGGCTTTAGTAAGTAAATTAACAAAAAGGCAGATCTTTCAAACATTTCTACTTTCCACTGAGAGGTGGTGCATGAGGTTTACTGGTAAAAAAATTCCAGCAGACAGTGGTACCTCGGGTTAAGTACTTAATTCGTTCTGGAGGTCTGTTCTTAACCTGAAACTGTTCTTAACCTGAAGCACCACTTTAGCCAATGGGGCCTCCTGCTGCTGCCGCCGCACCGCCGGAGCACAATTTCTGTTCTCATCCTGAAGCAAAGTTCTTAACCCAAGGTACTATTTCTGGGTTAGCGGAGTATGTAACCTGAAGCATATGTAACCTGAAGCGTATGTAACCCGAGGTACCACTGTGGTTGAGTTATACATAATTTTATGTCTGAGGAGTGTGTTGAATATCACAGGTTAAGCTTTTTGTTCACGTATATTCTTTTGATCCATTATACCATATATGTACATAGAATTGGTCTATTAACATTAAAAAGGAAAGGAGGAAAGAGAGACAAACATGTGAGAGTAGTATTAGAAACTCAGAAATATAAGCTAGGTGCCAAATGGCTCCTTAAACCAAGGTTGCAGTCGTCAAAACGGAAAGCCTAGTTTCCATTTTGGGGCAAGACAGCACTAAAGTCTTATTTTTCAAATGATCGACTGACTGTGATTGATTCTCAGTTACACATCTGGCTAGTTCTGATGACAACCTTGAGCTAGGTTAAGAGCTTTGAGAACTTAAAGAAGAAAAGTCGCTGGATCCAGGGACCATCCACATACATATTGGCCTATTCTGACCTCTTTTTCTTAATGGTGACAGCTGCTGCTCACGCTACACAGAAAAAGCAATGTGGTCCCTGAAATTCACTCTGATTGTGCGAATAAAACATAACTGGTCGAATTCTACAGAATGGGGTATTAGTATGTGAAAACACTCCAGATCCAATGATCCTGGCACCCAGGCATCTTCACTTGGTCAGAAGTGGTCTAAAGCCAGGTGCAAAATGCACCTGGTGCGTGGTTAATTTTGAACACCTGAATACTAAAAAAGGGGAGGAGGCAAGGAAAAGAGAACGTGGAAAAATTAGAGCTATTCCTGTTAGTACCAGGGCTAGTGACCCAAAGGTGTGCAGTGTACCAAGCAGAGTGGATAAAAATCAATGATTTTTTTTTTTTAATAATCAGATTTTTCAAATTTAAATCAGATTATTTTTAATTTAAATCGGATTTTTAAAATGGAATGCTTTTGGAGGAAACATCTTTCTAAAGATAGTTTTCTATTTAAGTTACATTCTACTCCAAAGGTTATTCATCAGGAAATAAGGATTTGTTTTAAGTTTTTCATGTGTGCTAAAACTCAGTCTAAGTTTTTTTAAAAAAAATTGTTTAACCACATAATCAGTTAACAAACATGGATACATATGCTATAATGTTATTGTTTTAGTTAAATAAATTGTTTACATTTTTATTCACGAAATGATTATTTTTCTCCTTCCAATAAAGTACAGCTGAAAAGTTGTCCAAATATAAACAATTAACATATTAAGCCTCACAATAATTTCATAATTATCTGTCTATGTATTTCTAATAGTATAACCAAATCAGTAATTTTTGATATAACTGTAAAAAAAACTACTCTAAAAATTTATTATTCCAAAAACGAAACCTTCATCTGGTTGTAAATATTAAGATTATACCAGCAAGAATGAGTCTTTCTGTAAAAAAATGATTTAAATCAAGTCTTACTGACTAGTGATTTAAATCAATTTGATTTAAATCAGATCCACCCTAGACCAAGTGAGGATGGGCGGTCTTAACAATCTGTGTCTGAGCCGCGTTGTTCAGACTGAAGAGCCAGCTCAAAGCCAGCAGCTTTATAACACCTGGTGGAATCCTATTGGCTCCTTGTGTCGCCTGATTTTGCTGATCTGGTAGGTACAGAGACTGTGGCAGAGATGGGTGCCCAGGTCCTGTTGCTAGAGTTCTGTTTGGGACCCTTGGCTTCTCACACAAGCCAAATTCAGCTGTCTCTGGGTTTATTTTGTTTAAGGATCCTATCAGCGACCCTGCCTCCTTCCATCCAAGCACATGGGTCCAGGTTCCTGTAAGGAAGGGATGCGGGTGGCTAAACTACTGAGCCTCTTGGGCTTGCCGATCGGAAGGTCGGTGGTTTGAATCCCGGCGATGGAGTGAGCTCCTGTTGCTCTGTCCCAGCTCCTGCCAACCTAGCAGTTCGAAAGCATGCCAGTGCAAGTAGATAAATAGGTACCGCTGTGGAGGGAAGGTAAACGGTGTTTCCATGCGCTCTGGCACTCGTCACAGTCCTCCGATGCCAGTAGCGGTTTAGTCATGCTGGCCACTTGACCTCCCGGAAAGCTGTCTGTGGACAAACGCTGGCTCCCTTGGCCTGAAAGCAAGATGAGCGCCGCAATCCCGTAGTCGCCTTTGACTGGACTTAACTGTTCAGGGTTCCTTTTACCTTTATGCAAGGCTAGCATTCAGTGAGTGTACACACACAGTTTGCTTCTTGCCTGACCACAAGAAGTAGAAATTAATGACTTCAGTTAAGCATTCTAAACTCAAAATGATTTTGAAAAATTTTAAGGAGTTGTCAGTCACCAGGACAAATACATGTGCAGGTGTTAAGTCTTGTCTGCAGTCATCCATATGACATCGAAACAGATTTGCAAAGCTTTTTGCATTACAGTTTCAGCTCACATTCACAGGGCTCAGAGCCTTAAGATCATTTTTCCATAGTGTCTGCTGTGACTGAGACAGACGGAGATTACTGCACTATTGTCAATAAATGATATGAATGGGGAGCATACATTATTGACTTAGGAAGCCTAGCCCTGGACAAAGTTTGAGATCGCTAATGTAGAGCTTGGGACACAGTCTGTGCAAGTTTGTGTACACAGAGCTGCAAAATCTGAGAACAGTAGAAGTGAAGTCCCCCCTGGGTTTACTCTTTCTGGGTAGTTTTCCACTATCCAACAAGTTGAGAATAGCTAGAAGCCAAAGGAACACAACTCCCAAACAGATTTTCAGATCAATTAAGATGTATTGCTTGGATTCAAAGCCACGTTCATTCAGCCCAGCTGAATAAGACTTCTGGGTTGCATTGCCTATCTATCAGCATATTTTTTAAAGTACCGTATTTTTCGCTCTATAGGATGCACTTTTTCCCCTTCAAAAATGAAGGGGAAATGTGTGTGCGTACTATGGAGCGAAGACGCCATAGCCCCGCGACCCTCTCCCGGCTGGAGAGGTGACACGCGGCTATGGCAGGAGCCTCTCCGCTGCGCCTTTCCGCTGCTCCCTGACCTGCTCTTTGGGGCTGGTGGTGGGCTTCCCCCCGCCAGCCCCAAAGAGCAGGTCGAAAGAAACCTGACGCCTGGATCGGTAGAGGGGTCTGTCCAACCCGACCCCTGTCGCTCTCCAGGCTTCCAAGGTAGCCGCCTGAACGCACCTTAAACGGCACATTGTTTTAGAGCGGGAAAACAAGAGGGGGAAAATTCTCCCCCTCTCTGCGCAGCGCCTCCTGCTGCTTCGCTGAAGGGGTGCTGGGCAGACAGGGGGAGAATTTTTTTTTTCTTGTTCTCCCCCCTCTAAAACAAAGTGCGTCCTATTGTCCGGTGCGTCCTATGGTGCGAAAAATACGGTAATTAAATGTATAAACAGGTGACGGGGAAAAAGAAAAGAGCAATTTGTTAGCAAAGAGAGAGAAAAGAGTAAGTTGTCACAATCGGTAAAGAAGACACTTATGTAATGTATTAAGTAATAATAAAACATATAAAGAGGGAAAGGATATGTGGTTTATAATTACAAAGCATACCATGGCCAAACAACTGCAAGTTTTTATTTCAAAAAAATAAATACAAAGCATTATATAGCATTTATAAACAACTTAATATTTTTTAAACCTCTAAGCAGTGTACAGTTAAAAAAAATTTGATATTGTTAAAACAGAAATGCAGCCCAAAACCAATAAAACTGCAGTATAAAAGAGCATATAAAATCAAATAAAACAGGAAGTCATGGGCCACAAACACATAAAATAGTGTGCAGTCTGATGGGTCAGGGAAAGTGAAGATGTTGAAAGCAACTTGTGGTTGCTGGTTCACTTATGGCAGAGAGGGAAGGGCATTCCAAAATACAGGGGCAATATGAGAAAACACCCATTTTCAGCTCACTGCCCTGTGCTGGCCACATGACCCCGAAAAACTGTCTGCGGACAAACGTCGGCTCCCTCGGCCAGTAAAGCAAGATCAGCACCACAACCCCAGAGTCGTTCGCGACTGGACATAACTGTCAGGGATCCTTTACCTTTACCTTTACCTTCAATCCTGAAAGCCTTGGTGCTCGGAGGTTTTGGCTCCTGAACGCCGCAAACCCGGAAGTGACTGTTCTGATTTGTGGACGTTCTTTGGAACCCAAACATCCGATGGAGCTTCTGCGGCTTCTAATTGCCTTGGAAGTCGAACAGAATCCGTTCCAGAAGTCCGTTCGACTTCGAAAATGTTCAGGAACCAAAGCGCGGCTTCTGATTGGCTCCTGCAGCCAATCAGAAGCCCCGTTGGACGTCCGGCTTCTGAAGAACGTTTGCAAACTGGAACACTCACTTCTGGGTTTGCTGCGTTTGGGAACCCAAACGTCCAATTACCAAGGCGTTTGACAACCAAGGTATGACCGTACAGTGGTACCTTGGGTTACATATGCTTCAGGTTACATACGCTTCAGGTTACAGACTCCGGTAACCCAGAAATATTACCTCAGGTTAAGAACTTTGCTTCAGGATGAGAACAGAAATCGTGCTCCAGCGGCATGGCAGCAGCAGGAGGCCCCATTAGCTAAAGTTAAGAACGTCGCATGGACGCCAGGTTAAGAACGTCGCATGGACGCTGTGCTACAAACAAGCAATGACCATCCACACACGTACGATGCCACAAATGTCTCTGTATGTGGAGTATGTTGCGAATGGCTAAAGCCAAATTTCAGGCAGCCAGGAATGTTCATCACTCATTATTTTAGCCTTGCAGCTGACCACACGTGGTTTTCTGCATCTCACAGAAATGTGGTTGTGGTGGTGGTGATGATAAGAAAGCATCCCATCTGCTCTGGGGTGGCTTGAGTGGTAGATCTTGCCCAGAAGAATAAACACACTGGGTGACTGGCTAATGGCTATGCTTCATCATCTGATCCCTTCCATGCAGTGAATTATTGTCACCTTGTAACATAGCCTTTTGGGATCAGCTGTCAGACCACCAGTACTCATTTCAGCCCTGGGACCGCAGCTTGGACTGGCTATTTTCAATGCAAAATGTGCCTTTCCACCATTCTGCATTGTTTCCTACTAGGAGATGCAGACCATTGGTCCACCCCTCTTCTGGTTTTGCTCCCCAACCACGCTGTAGCACCCACCTTTTCTCGTTTCATGGCCTGTGTGATGTTTCCCACTGCTGCCCCCAAGATCTCCTTCATCTCCTTGCCCGGCTTCTGTCAACACCAGGTCCTGTGGATTTCCATCGTGCGCTTGTGAAATTCCGACTTAATTCATAAAAGTCCAGGGACTCGGAAGAACGAAGGCAACCACAGCAGGCAAAGCTCAAGTTTGTTTTTTAAAATGGAGGTGAGGAGGAGGAGGAGGGTAGCCCAAGCGCCCTTTTGCTCTTTCAGGAAATGGGTCATTTGTTTTATTGCAGCTGACACTTGAGAGCCATGACATGATCAGGAACGAAGTGAATTAGCTGCATTTACAGTACATTGAGGTGGGCACAGTGGATCTGAAATACAGTGGTACCTCGGTTTACATACGCTTCAGGTTACATACGCTTCAGGTTACAGACTCCGCTAACCCAGAAATAGTACCTCGGGTGAAGAACTTTACCTCAGGATGAGAACAGAAATTGTGCTCCGGCGGCCTGGCGGCAGCAGTGGAAAACCCCATTAGCTAAAGTGGTGCTTCAGGTTAAGAACAGTTTCAGGTTAAGAACGGACCTCCGGAATGAATTAAGTACTTAACCCGAGGTACCACTGTAATACGCAGTGGTGGCAGAAACAAAAATGGGACGGAGGGTCTTGTTGCGGATTCACTTTAAGTAAGTAGCAAAGTAATTGTGTGCCTGTGTTGCCGTGTCAACCTGGCTGGCCGCGAAGTTATAAGTGAAACTCAACCTTCCCAAACCTGCAGACTCAAGTCCATTTGCAGAAAATAGATTTGGTGTGTGCAGATTTGCTGTACTAGATGTGCAAAAAGGATGGCAGGGTGTAGAGGGGCTGGGATTACCCCAACCAGCAAGCTGGCAACGCCTCGTCCCATTTGTATCCTTGTGTGGAAGCTCTCCCTTACCTTCGTTGACCGATTAAGGAAGTGTGTGTTGATGGTTAAAACCCTTTTGGCATGCCTGCTTTTTCATAGTGGTCTTCACGTTTTGGTGGCCTTCCAAAATTCATGTTAACAGCGGCTGACCAATTTTGCTCTGGGGTTTGGTGGTGCTCAGAGACCCCCCAAAGACCAGAGCAACTGATGAGGAAACCTCTAAGCTTGGAAAAATGGGGTGGGTGGGTTGTCACCAGTGTTCAAAATTAGCAGGGTGTCAGTTCCGTTTTGCGACTGGCAACAGGTGCAGTTGCGACCAGGGAAGATCTCTGTCTGCCAGGCTGGCAACTGGGGAAAGCAAAATGTCACTTAGAAGAAGGATCTGACATATTTTCCCTGAAGCTTGTTTTTTTTATCCTAGATTGTTTTATTGGATGTTTTAACGTGTTGTAAACCGCTTTGAGATTTTTTCCTCTTTAAAATATATAGCTGTACCTTGGTTGCCAAACGGCTTAGTTGCCAAACATTTCGGCTGCCGAACATCGAAAACCTGGAAGTGAGATTTCTGGTTTTTGAACGTTTTTTGGAAGCTGAACATCCGACGTGGCTTCTGCGGCTTCCGATTGAGTCCAGGCAACCCCTGCAGCCAATCGGAAGCCGCGCCTTGGTTTTGGAATGGTTCTGGGAGTCGAACGGACTCCCAGAACGGATTAAGTTTGACAACCAAGGTACAACTGTAAAGCGGTAAAATAATAATAATAAAAATAAAAATAAAAATAAAACAACAACTGCAACAAAAGGCACCTAGACATTCTGTTGTGGCTACCGTAACCTAGGTTTAAGGTAAAGGTAAAGGGACCCCTGACCATTAGGTCCAGTCGTGACCGACTCTGGGGTTGCGGCGCTCGTCTCGCTTTATTGGCCAAGGGAGCCGGCTTACAGCATGACTAAGCCGCTTCTGGCGAACCAGAGCAGCGCACGGAAATGCCGTTGACCTTCCTGCCAGAGCGGTACCTATTTATCTACTTGCACTTTGACGTGCTTTCAAACTGCTAGGTTGGCAGGAGCAGGGACTGAGCAATGGGAGCTCACCCCATCGCGGGGATTCGAACCGCCGACCTTCTGATCGGCAAGTCCTAGGCTCTGTGGTTTAACCCACAGCGCCACATGCATCCCATAGGTTTAAGGTACCATTTGGCTATTAGCTTATATGTCTGAGTTTCTAACACTCGTTTATAGTCTGGGAGTTCTCTGGGAGCACATCTTGTAGCTGAAGTCACAGGTAGTGACAGAGGCTAGAAGCAACTTTTCCCAGGGATATCCTTGCCATTGCGACACATGCACTGGATTGGATGACGCTACTGTGTTCTATGCAGGCCTGTACCTTAAGGCTGGCCTGGAAGCTACTGCTAGTGTAGAATGCTACAGGAGGCAACACTATTTCAGCACTTGCTAAACAAACAAAACCCATTTATTTTTCCAAGCCTTTGCCGGCAGTTCATACCAATTTGTTCTAAATTTTGTCGCGGTCGACTGCTTTTATGAGTGTTATTATACGTGCACTGGTTTTATGGCAACTTTTAAAAGTGCCGTACAGCTATCTTTGGTTTTAATGAAAGTGTGGCATCAAAAACATTTTAATTAAATAAAGATAATATATAGAACAAGCGATTGCATCAGGATTTAAAATTTGGTTGGGGTAGGGAGTTTGAATTTGCTTCTCCCTCCTGAGGAATTACCTGAATGATGAGTTTGGGTGAGAAAAGAATAAAGTTTAGAAGAGTGGGGTAGAAGAATTTAAGGATTTCAGAAAAGTTGATATACTAACAGTGAACTCATCCTCCCAAATGCTGATCTTTAGGTAGCTAAAACAGCACCATCCGCACACAAGAGAGAGATATAATTACACCAAAGGTTGTGGGTTCGAGTCCCATGTTGGTCAAAAGATTCCTGTCTTGCAGGGGGTTGGACTAGATGACCCTTGCGGTTCCTTCCAGCTCTGTGATCACCAGGCTTGGGAGAATCTCTCCCCACCGCTCCAACTCCACCCGGCTGCCTATTTAGGACTCAACATGGTTAGTGTCTGCAAAATACTGTTGGGCATAACTGGAAACCTAGAATTAGGGGAATGGAGAATATTTGGGACGTTGTCATGACTGCCTGGCTCGAACTCTGGACAGGAGTGCTCTGCGCTGCAACAATTTGTTGCAAGATGCGCATAAAAGCCACCTTCCTTTGAAAGACATGGGTGAGCACTTCACTTCCTGGGCCAATCAAGACACGTATATACAGTTGTACCTTGCTTCTCAAACTTAATCCGTTCCAGAAGTTCGTTCCAAAACCAAAGTGTTCCAAAACCAAGGTGTTTTCCCATAGAAAGTAATGCAAAACGGATTAATCCGTTCCAGACTTTTAAAAACAACCCCGAAAACAGCGATTTAACATGAATTTTACTTTCTAACGAGGCCATTGATCCATAAAATGAAAGCAATAAACAATGTACTGCAGTCACACAATCAGTAGCTGAACTAGGTTCCACACAGTCACAAAAACAAAACAAAAAAGAGCCACAAAAACGCAAAATAAATCACACAAACAGACAGACCTCAGCGTAACACTCAAAACAGAAGCATTGCACTCAAAACAGAGCACGTTCGACTTCTGAAAAAAGTTCGCAAACCGGAACACTTACTTACTTACTTACTTACTTACTTTCCGAAACACTGGGTTTGCAGTGTTTGGGTTCCAAGTTGTTTGAGTACCAAGGTGTTTGAGAACCAAGGTACCACTGTATATAAAAAAATACACCTCCCCCCCCCCCTGCCCAGCCAAACAGGTCAAGAGAGAAAGGACCCGAAAGCTGTCTTCTTCCAAGCTGCCTGCCTGCCTCTGCTTCGGAAAGCCGGCCTCGCGCTTTGAGAAACTTGGCTTTATTCGCAGGGGAGCGAGAGAATAAAAGAGAGAGAGAGAGAGAGACCGCAGTGTTCTGTGCCGTGGATGGGATTTGCAGCCTGGCACGTGCCCGCCTTTCAGCTGCAGCTGGCTTCCCCCAGAGCTCTGCCAAGTCCGGGCAGCTCCGTGGCTTCCTGTGGGATTGCACCATCCAATGGCTGTGGGCTGCCACCCTCCTTTCCTAAACACTGCCCCTGATGCCTGGGAGGAGCTCCCTCGGAAAAACCTGGCAAGGCTGCTCCTGCAGAACGCGCGCCGGTACCGCTCGTTCCTTCCAACATGCAATGGCCTCCAGTACAACTAACTTGGCAGCTGGCATGCTCCAGTCCTTTCCTATTAATGCCGATCACAGCTGACTCACTGCTTGTGTGTGTGTGTGTGTGTGTGTGTCTCCACCCGCCTCCTGTCCGTAGATACCAGTCGCTTTCATTTCACGTTGCAATTAGCGTTGAACTTCTCTTAAACACCCACCGATCAGTTCAGGATCCTATACAGTGGTACCTTGGGTTACAGACGCTTCAGGTTACAGATGCTTCAGGTTACAGACTCCGCTAGCCCAGAAATAGTACCTCGGGTTAAGAACTTTACCTCAGGATGAGAACAGAAATCGTGTACCGGCAGCGGGAGGCCCCATTAACTAAAGTGGTACCTCAGGTTAAGAACAGTTTCAGGCTAAGAACGGACCTCCGGAACCAATTAAGTTCTTAACCCGAGGTACCACTGTAGTTTGAATGTCCAAAACTAACGTTTAAAAAATCCAGCCTAACCAGAGAACGATCCCGGCCGTTAGGGACACCTGTTGTCAGAAGTTGTGTGAAGAAAGCCATTGTACACGCTGGGAGGGGAATGGGGCAGATTGGCGTGCGTTAAACGTCTGCTCCCCAGATCCAGTTATCAACAGACTTGGATTTATTTTGGCAGGGGCTGGATAGAGGCAACGAAAGAGGCGGAGGAAAAGGGGAGGGTGGAGGAGCTCTGCAGTCGTACTTTGGCTTCCAAATGCCTTGGCAGTCAAACTTTCCGGTTTTCGAACGGTCTTTTGAAAACTGAATGTCCAATGGGGTTTCCAACTGCCTGCAGGAACTTCCTGCAGCCAATCAGAAGTCGTGCTTTGGTTTCTGAACATTTCAGAAGTCAAACGGACTTCTGGAACGGATTCATTCGACTTCTGAGGTACGGCTGTATTTAAATAGGGAAACGGTTCTTTGGCATGTTGGGGGAAATTAAGTTTGCATCTTAACTTCTTCATTGTGTTGTATCCGGCTCCTATTGCTCCCCATTTTAATCCTCACATCAACCCTGCAAGGTTGGTCAGGCTGTAAGTGAGTGACTGGCCCAAGATCACACAGTTTCACGGCCGAGTGGGGATTCGAACCATGTTCTGCCAGGTCTTAGTCCAGCACTTCAACCACTGCACCATACTGTTTATAACACTGTACATAAAACCACCGGGGAAGGTTGACTGGAGATTTGCGCTATGGTGTCCTCATCAGGCTGATGATGCTCAGCTCTCTGCCTATTGTACTTCCATCTGATCCCATGGATGGTTCTAAAATGGTGTCTGAAGTGCGTAATGGATTTGATGTGGAGCCTAGCCTGTTGGTTGGTTGATTCTGCGGTGAAGGGCCTGTTCTGGATGGGGTTTTACTCCCTGTTTGATATATTGGCTGTATGTTTATATATAACAGTGTCGGATATATAAGCTAATTGCCAAACGGCACCTTAAACATATGTTCGCCACAATGGAATGTCTAGCTGCCATCCCCCCGCATTTTTTTGTTGTTGTTAATTTCTTTTCTACACCATTTTATATTTCAAAAGGGGGCGCGGGATCTTGAAGCGGCTTACAGCACATTAAACCATCAAATAAAACAATCCAGAATAAAGCAAAATTCAAGTTTCGAGGAAAAAATATTTCAGATCCTTCTCTGAGGTGACATTTTGCTTTCCCCATATTTAGTTACCTGCTTAATTCATATAGCTGCCCCATAGCAGAAGTACTCTAGGAAGCCAGTGTGGTATAGTGGTCAGAGCGTCCGACTAGGACCTGGGAGATCAGGGTTCAAATCCCCACTCCGTCATGAGGCTCACTGGATGACCTTGGAGTCAGCGTCACAGCCTCTGAACCTACCTCACAGGGTTGTCCTGAAAACAATGTAGTATAAACACTGACAACTGGGAAACACTGGCCTGCGAGCGCTCCAGTTGGAGAACAGCCTTTAGCAAAGGTGTCATGGGCTTTGAAGAGACTCGAACTCAGGACGCAAGGGAGGAATGTGCCAAGAGGAAGGCACGCTTGGCAAATCCACACCATGATCAACTCCACCCGGAAACCAGTGTCCCCACTGTGGAAGGATGTGTGGATCCAGAATTGGCCTCCACAGTCACTTACGGACTCATTGCTAAAACCGTGTTTATGGAAGACAATCTTACTCGGTTATGAGTGTTCGCCAAAGAAGAAGAGGGATTAACTGAGGAGGGGGGTAAACCATGTACTCCTTGGGATATAAATGGAATAAAAGAGCTCTTCCGCTTACCTGCTGAAGAAAGCTGGAGAGGTCAGCTAGGTGGAGATATCAGTCGTCAACCTGGCATTCAGAGATCAACACGTGGTCGCAAGTATTATTAGTATTTATTGAATTTATATAGAGCCCTATACCTGGGGGTCTCAGGGCGGTTCACAGAACAAAGTCTAGATATAAAACCACAAAATACATAAAAATAAAATAAAAACAACAACCCAATAGCCTCTCCTTCACAAAATAATACATTTTAAAAGGGCATAGGATGTAAAACAGATCAGCCAAAGGCCTGGTTAAAAAGGAACGTTTTTGCCTGGTGCCTAAAGGTGTGTAACGAAGGTGCCAGGTGAACCTCCCTGGGGAGAGCATTCCACAGACGGGGAGCCACTGCAGAGAGGGCCCTGTTTTTGTGTTGCCACCCTCCGGACCTCTCGAGGAGGAGGCACATGAAGAAGGGCCACAGAAGATGATCTCAGGGTCCAGGTAGGTTCATATGGAAAGAGGCGGTCCTTGAGGTATTGCGGTCCTGAGCCGTTTAAGGCTTTATAGGTGAAAACCAGCACTTTGAATTGGGCCCGGAAACTAATTGATAGCCAGTGCAGTCGGACCAGGATCAGTGTAATATGCTCAAACCGTCTTGCTCTGGTGAGCAACCTGGCTGCTGAATTCTGCACCAGCTGAAGTTTCCGAACCGTCTTCAGAGGCAGCCCTACGTATACTGCATTGCAGTAATCTAACCTTGAGGTTACCAGCAATTAGATTCACACCAGTCACAAAACACACCTGGTGCCTGGTTGTACCCTCTCAGAAGCACTATGTTAATGGCATTGAGGGTTAGGGGGCGTTCTTTTGTACCTATTCCTGGCCTTGCCCACCCTGGAAGCCAGGCTGCATGGACGCCTGGCATCATCTGGCAGGGCGCTTCTTAGGTTATGCTCTTAATGTTCCTTGTTGGCTGCTTGGCACTGAATGGGAAGCATCCTTGTCCTGAATGGACAAACAAATGAATAAATGCATTGCAGCCACAGACCAATGAAATTTGATAAGACACAGAAGGAAATGCATAAATAGAATACTGTTGAATTTCCAGAGGGACCAAAAGGAAGTCCTTACTTTACCGTCTCCTCCTTAATTTGTATTGACAGTGGAAGGGATTTAGCTCACTTAACTACTAATACAAATAGAGTAATGTAATCAATTAAACAGGGGGGGAAAACAATTTCCAGTGGATCTTCCTGGTTGAGTTCTTAATAAAAAAAGAGTCGGCCTCTCTTTGGGCTCCCTATACAAATTATATGGATTCTCTCTCTCATTCCACAAGGACAAAGTTGTTCGCTAAGCGGAATCTTATTAAATTGGCCAGAGGCTGGTTGCTCGCTTGTGTGGAGAGTGAGACAAGGTGAGGAGTGATATTTATGTATTTCTTGTTTAAATTTATACCCCACCCTTCCATCAAGATTCATGAACCCTGGGCAAGGAATGACATGAAAGACTCATAAAACCGCAGTCAATAAAATCAACTCAGGCAGTTAAATCTGTCAAATGTCAAAAACAGGAGCACGCGTACACACACACCAATTTACAAGTGATGCATTTGGCAAGCCCTTCACAAAGGCCCAGGCGAAGAGATGTCCCCCCCTTGGCTGGCACCGATAGATGAACAATGATGGTGCTGGCTGTACCTCGAGGGGGAGGGAATTCCGTAGCCAAGGTGCCATCACGAAAAAGGCCCTGTATCATGAGCTTTGCCTAGTGATGGAGTAATGGGCTGAGTCTCTACTGCAAATGTTAATCCACAGGCAGAACTTATACGAAGTGGATTGCAGCTGCATCTGTCCATACCTGGACCTGGGAGCTCATGAAGGTTGACACGCTGAGAATGGGTATTTCAAATGAACTCCCCACTTTCACATTGAGGTATCCCAGCCTTGTCAACGAGCCCACAAAAGGTTCCATCCTGCACAGATGTTTACTAGCCAGCAGAAGAGAGGTGGAGAAGTAACAGCCTACTTGGCTTCTGTGTTGGGTGCAGAAAAGTCCTGCTCTCTTGTTGCCGCCCTCCAAACCTCCATTGGAGGTGGCGCATGGAGGAAAGCCTTTGGACAACGATTCTTTGCCTCCAGAACTGGCCCAACGAGTATCTTGTGTGCACCATATTTAGAAGGACACCTTACTGACCTTTGTAAGTTCTCCATCTTGCTGACCTTACTTGAGCTGAAAGCCTCTCTTTATCGGTTCAGCTGATAAGTGGCAGAGGAAGGATGCATGGTCTCTTCCAGATCGCCATGTAGTGTTGCTTGTTTCCTTTTTTGGCATGGCATGCAAGGGCAGAGATGCCATTTTCCTTTGAGTTGGGCATTGATGTTGGTTTTGCATGCTCAGGAATTGGCTGGCCTCTTCTCCTTGTCCTGCAACAGCCCAAAGGAGCTCCCTTCCACTTGCCCAAAGTATAGTGGTACCTCGGGTTACATACGCTTCAGGTTACATACGCTTCAGGTTACAGACTCCGCTAACCCAGAAATAGTGCTTCAGGTTAAGAACTTTGCTTCAGGATGAGAACAGAAATCGTGCTCCAGTGGCGTGGCGGCAGCAGGAGGCCCCATTAGCTAAAGTGGTGCTTCAGGTTAAGAACAGTTTCAGGTTAAGAACGGACCTCCGGAACGAATTAAGTATTTAACCCGAGGTACCACTGTGAACACCTAACCTGGGGAGGAAACCTCTTTGAACTCAGGAGGAATTACTTTTGAGTAGATATGCATAAATAAAATAGCTCTCTTTTCTTTCCGCATTAAGTATTTAACCCGAGGTGCCCCTGTACCTAGCTTCCTCGGGAGGCAGCAACCATTGCTTTAACCCAGGCATAGGCAATCTCAGCCCTCCAGATGTTTTGGGACTACAATTCCCATCATCCCTGACCACCGGTCCTGTTAAGCTAGGGATCTTAGGAGTTGTAGTCCCAAAAATCTGAAGAGCCGAGTTTGCCTGTGCCTGCTTTAACCAAATGAGCAAATACGCTCTTTGTTGCTTATTTCATCTGGTGTGTGTGTGTGTATATATATATATATAAGAAATGCATTTTAAGTTGCAATCTTGGCATTGTGGAACTAAGCTGGTATTCCATGAGATGATTAGAGGCTTAACCTGCCTGCTTGAATAACTTTTTGTGTGTATGTTTACAGAAAACACGCGCTTCGAACTGCTTAGGAAACCCAACCGAAGGCGGCACAAACGATACGTTAAATTTCTAGACCAGGGAGTCGGATTTATTTCAGGTTCCGTTATAAGCCATATACCTCCATCCATGTGGATCACAGCGCTGAAACTTGTTTTCAGCATGTCTAGAGTAATAAGAAAGAAATGCCTCTTAAGGGTGTGCAGTATTGCTCCCCACCACCACTAATGCTAAGCACAGGCAAACCCCTTTTGCATGGAGCACTGGATCTTGCTGGATCCAATTGTGTGCTACCCTCTAGGCTGCAGCCCTTCCCTTTCTGCCTCTAGGGCAAAGGGAGAGATGGCTGCCTTGCCAGGTTCTCAGGGAATCCTCCCAGCCACTGCTGCTTGGTGTATCCTGATATATTTCCTGCATGTTACACATGCAGTAACGCCCCCTCACTACATCTGGCATCAAAAATAGCAGTGCTTATTTATTTTAACTTTCCATGGCAACGTATAGGCTCGGAGGATGGGGTTAGCTCGCGTTTCAGAGCTCACCGCTACATACGAATTTTGAGGAAGAATTTCCTCTGATCAGATTGTTGCTAACCTGGAGGCTTTTTCGAAGTCTGGTTTATGATAGATCACAATACGCTCAAGTCTTTGCTAATCTGTTCTCCACCCCCTCCCCTTCCATTCTTTGCCACATGTTGTCTCCTTTTCTCTCCTGATCATGTTCTCTTGCTTAAAAGGCCTTGTTTGCACATCACGGTACGGCACAGTCTAATTTGAACCATCGTTAAATTGTGAACGGGATGTGGGTGGCGCTGTGGGTTAAACCACAGAGCTTAGGGCTTGCCGATTGAAAGGTCGGTGGTTCGAATCCCTGTGATGGGGTGAGCTCCCGTTGCTCGGTCCCTGCTCCTGCCAACCTAGCAGTTCGAAAGCACGTCACAGTGCAAGTAGATAAATAGGTACTGCTCCAGCGGGAAGGTAAACGGTGTTTCTGTGCGCTGCTCTGGTTCGCCAGAACCACATGCTGGCCACATGTCTCGGAAGCTGTACGCCGGCTCCCTCGGCCAGTAAAGCGAGATGAGCACAGCAACCCCAGAGTCGTTTGCGACTGGACCTAATGGTCAGGGGGCCCCTTTACCTTTACCTAAATTGTGAATATGTGTCCCCCTTGCCCCATGTTGCATGAGTCCCTGTGTGGCTTCTCCCCCCTGCCCCACCTTCCTCTGGCACCCTCAGTGTGGGAAATCACTGGGCATCTTCAGTTGGTCACAAGTGGTTGATGGTGAATTTCTAACCCTGCTTTAACACCAGAAAGTTCTTCCTGAGTCGGCACCTCCTTTCTTAGGATGCTATCCCTGTTCCCACATTTTAGCTTCCTTCCCACATTGTTCCAGTTGCCCTCCATGAGTTGGAGGGTGATCTTCTGAACTGAGGAGCCCCTTGTGCTCCTGACATTTGAGGGTTCTAAAACACATGAAGATTTATTGAGTCAGAAGATCACCCTCCCAACTTGTGGAAGGCAATTGGGGCAGCAGTGGAGATGGAGCGAGACCATATAGTCCAAATCATGAAGAGGGGCTACTGATTCTCAGGTCTGCCGTGTCTCTGCAAAGAATTCTAAAAAGCTCATGAGATGTGTTTGGTGTGTCCGCCAGCACAAGTGGCTGCACTCTTTTATTGCCCTTTCCGAATGCACGGTGGAGACTTGCTTGCATTTGGGGGTTTCTCAACAACAGGAGTTTCCCCCTTGTTGCAATTGGCAACTGTGCTCACCAGTTTCACCTTTCCTCCACCCCCCAGCAAGCGGTTGGTGCTTAGTATGCAATATCCACGTATTTTAAGGGAAGTGAGAATATGCTTTGTCTGTAGCTATGTGGGAGAAGGATCATAGCTCAGTGGTGGAGCATCCGCTTTGCCTGTAGAATGACATCTGGGGTAGTGGCAGCCCAGAAGAGGGCATTCCGTGTTACACCTCCTAAGTTGTGAAATTCCCTTCCCACAGAGGTACATCTTACATCTTCAGCATATAGTTTCTGTTGCATGCTGAAGGTGCGCCTCTTTGCTCTGCCCTTCAACACCAGAGAAGTATACAGTGGTACCTCTGGTTGCGAACGGGATCCGTTCCAGAGCCCCGTTTGCAACATGAGCAGAACGCAACCCGTGTCTGCGCGGGCCGCGATTCACCACTTCTGCGCATGCGCGTGGTGTCATTTTGAGTGTCTGTGCATGCGCGAGCTGCGAAACCTGGAAGTAACCCTTTCCGGTACTTCCGGGTCGCCGTGGGACACAACCTGAAAAGATTTAACCTGAAGCAAACGTAACAAGAGGTATGACTGTATTTGCAGGACCTACCTTATTCCTGTGTCTGTAATTCGTTGTGTCTGGACAGGCATCTCCCCAGTTATATGGGGGTTATGTTCCCGGGTACTATGCATATACGTGAAATCGTATATCGTGGGGAACACCCTTTAAACTGCCAGACTCGCCCTGCAATCCACCAAATTCCACCGCAATCCCACCCTCCAAACCTTCTTTCTCAAACTCCCAACTCTCCACAGGCCTCAAATGTTGGTGCAAAGGCTCATGTGATTACTAGCCATTTTACTGCTCTTTTCATGCCATTTTGGCAGTTTTTCCGCTATTTTCGGGCTGTTTTCGTGCCTTTTCACAGTTTAAACCGATTTCTTTCAGTGCCACGTGTATATGCCTGTCTCACACAAATCTCACACACATGGTTTGTTTTGAATGGTTTTTAATATAGATTTTTAAATTGTAATTTTTGCTAATATTTTACGGTGAAAGGCAGGTCAGAGATGATGGTGGTGGTGATGCTAATAATAATAATAGTAAGAATAGTAATAACAATAATTTATTATTTATACCCTGCCCATCTGGCTGGGTTTCCCCATGATGGTAATTATTACAAGTGCATGGTTATTTGCCATCCTGTCCTCCAGAGTCCCTGCTCTAGAAGATTATGTTGGTATCTGGGGCTCTCCCTTAGGTGGGTTATTGCATTACAACAAACATTTCTGTGTGTGCACATTTGGGGGGGGGATGGAGGAGTAAGCTTCGAGGGAGCATAGGATATCAGCTAAACTGGCCAATCCTCAGTTCCTCCCTCACCATGTACCAACCCCTCCCATTCTGAACCCCCCCCTCCCCAGCATTGGCATAACACACTGATTTAAAGCGATACCACCGTGAAGCTGTCACAGCCTGGAGTTGCGCCAGCATATGGGACTCAATTGCAATCCTATCCTTGCCCAGCTGCCGTAACTCCAAGGATAAGTTAGCACGTTTGGGTGGAGGGGGGAGAAGGAAGGAAGGAGAAACTAATTTTGTGGCACTCAGTAGGAATGCCGTGATGGAGCAGGCAGGAGCAAGGGCTTTGCATGAGATAAGGGGTTTTTTTGTGCATGGCAGAAGGCCAGAACATGGGCTCCGATCTGCCAAATTCAGACTACCCAGATAAAGTACTACTTCCTCTACCAGCCATGTTGCTTTATGTCTTAGTTCCTTTTTCCTGTGGCGAGTCAATCTTTCACCCTCATCAAAAAAAACCAAACCCCAAACTCGGTCGTCGTCCCGTCCCCCCCACTGTGTCTCCTCTCAGTTACAAAATGCTTTGCCAGCCCCAATGCCTGGGGCAATCCACACCCCTGGGGATGTGCTGGATCTGTTCAAGATTTCCCAGTTAAACGAGGACAATTGCATCCCTCTTGGTGCAGCTGGAATGCCGCATACATGTGTTGGTTTTTTAAATTTAAATTCCTGCCATATCATTTGACTAGATCTGACAGATGAGAATCTAGTATATTTGAGAGTAAAACAAAAGAGTGTGAGTGTGTGTGTGTGAGAGAGAGACTGAGACTCAGACTGACTGACCGACTGAAAAAGAGATTTATGTGGCCACTTGTTCATGATCGTAGCTGTTGAAGACATTCAGAACCAGATAAGTAAATGTTTCTTATTTTAGACTTCTCGGTTTCCTTCACACACGCAAAAAGAGAGACTTGCAGAAACCATACTGAGCTCTTTATTTGCTTGCAATACCACCTCCCTTTTTCACAGCTCAGCTTTCTCTTCACCGAAGCCATCCTTGGAAGAGAACCATCCACGGTGGAGGTGTAGCTTCAATCCAATATTTAAGATGCTTGTAGAGAAATGGCTGAAGAGATGAGGCTTTGGAGCATTGGAACAGCTGGATGTGAAGTCTGGTACCTGCAGGTGGCAAGCTGCCTTGAAGCTGACCTGTTATCTAATATTACAGCACCAGAGCTTCATGGGGCTGACTCGTAGTTCAGTGACAGAGCATCTGCTTTGTATGCCAAAGTTTTGATCACAGGTATCTCCAGCTTAGGGACGCGGGTGGCGCTGTGGGTTAAACCACAGAGCCTAGGACTTGCTGATCAGAAGGTTGCGGTTCGAATCTCCGCAACGGGGTGAGTTCCCATTGCTCGGTCCCTGCTTCTGCCAACCTAGCAGTTCAAAAGCACGTCAAAGTGCAAGTAGATAAATAGGTACCACTCCGGTGGGATGGTAAACAGCGTTTCCGTGCACTGCTCTGCTTTGCCAGAAGTGGCTTAGTCATGCTGGCCACATGACCTGGAAGCTGTACACCGGCTCCCTTGGCCAATAAAGTGAGATGAGCGCCGCAACTCCAGTCGGCCACGACTGGACCTCATGGTCAGGGGTCCCTTTACCTTTACCTATCTCCAGGTTGGGCTCAGAGAGCTTTTCCTTCCTGAAACCCTGGAGAGCCGCTGCCAGTCAGTGTAGCCAGAATGGCACTAGGTGGACCAGTTGTTCTGACTCTGTATAAAGCACCTTCCTATGTCCCTGTGCCTTTTTGTCCCAGAGTGGACTAAAATTATCCCTGTTTGTTTCTGGTTCAGACCACTCACTGGATCGCTTCTGGTTTGGCACACAGTGCTAGAAACTCAGATATATAAGGTAGGCGCCAAATGGCTCCTTAAACCAAGTTTGCAGTCGTCAAAGTTGCCATTTTAGGGCAAGACGGCTCCATAAAGTTCCTTTTCAAACGGTGGATTGAGTGCGATTGATTCTCAGCTAAACATCTGTTCAGATGGCAACCTTGACCTAGGTTAAGAGCTTTGAGAATTTAAAGAAAAGTTACTCAATCTAGGGACCGTCCACATATATATTGGCCTATTCCAACCTCTCTTTGCTTAACGGTGACTGCTCCTGCTGCGGCTGCACAGAAAAAGCAATCTGGTTCCTGAAATTCATTCTGATGGTGCAGATAAAATATAACCAATCGATTTCTTCAGGATGGGGTATTAATGTATGAAAACAGTCCATACCCAAGGATCCTCAGGCATGCACCTCCAGATGGTGGAGCTGTCAGGCGTTATCCTCATGCCCAGCCATCTTCACTTGGTCACAAGTGGCCAATAGTCAGGCGCAAAATGTGCCTGGCTAATTTTGAACACTGTTGGCACACCTGTGAACTGGTTTGGTGCTGCACTGCATGCTTAAGCTGACCATGTGGTAGTAGAATAATTTCCAGCATGGAAGTGTTTTCTTGTTACCATTGGCGGGGAGGCGGGGGAATCAGATGAGACTAGGCTACAGACTGGCCCTACTTAAGAGCATGTACACAAAGGCTTGGCTTGGCTTACAGCACAATGGCATATATGCTTCCTTGGAAGTGCTCACTGCAACTTACCCATTGGTGTGGTTAGGTCATTTTACACTCTAGATTTAATAGTCTTATGCCATAGGAGAGCTCTTTCATAGGTCATCTGTACAGTGGTACCTCGGGTTACATACGCTTCAGGTTACAGACTCCGCTAACCCAGAAATAGTACCTCGGGTTAAGAACTTTGCTTCAGGATGAGAACAGAAATCGTGCTCTGGCGGTGCGGCAGCAGCAGGAGGCCCCATTAGCTCAAGTGGTGCTTCAGGTTAAGAACAGTTTCAGGTTAAGAACGGACCTCCAGAACGAATTAAGTACTTAACCCGAGGTACCACTGTATTACTTCACCTGTTCAAAATGTGGCAAGCCTGCACTTCTACATTGCTGGGGGGTGGGGAGAGGGGGGCTCCTGCTTATTCTGCTGCGTGTCTGCTCCAAAGCCCTAGCCTGATAGCACTGCTGGATTTACTCCATAGTAAATGTACCGTACTTTTCCGTGTATAAGACAAGGTTTTTTTACTCTAAAATAAGGTTAAAAATTGGTGGGTGTCTTATAAGTGCATATACAGGATGGGCGATTGGTTACAGCCGTGAGCAGGAGCTTTTCAGGGGCGATTGGGTGGGTGATTTGTGGCCGCGTTAAGGGCTGCTGTGGATTGGCTGCTGCTGTGACAATTGTGCGTGCGATTGGCGGGTAGACGCTTGTTTTATTCTGCGACGCGTGCCATTGGCAGCGTTTGTGAGTCAGGTGAGTGATTTTCGGCATTTCCCTCTGAAAAAGCTCAGCAACTCTGGGCCATCTCCCCCCATTTTCTTAAATTGAAATCCCCAAAAGTAGGGGGCATTTTATACACGGGGGCGTCTTATACACAGAAAAATACAGTATTTAGGATTGACATCTCAGGCAACCTGTTTGCCAGGAGTAAACGACCTGCTGTTATGGTCAGTGTGGTTTCAAGTCCACTGAGCCTAAGGCTGCAATGAAGTACAGTGGTACCTCGGGTTACATACGCTTCAGGTTACAGACTCCGCTAACCCAGAAATAGTGCTTCAGGTTAAGAACTTTGCTTCAGAATGAGAACAGAAATCGTGCTCTGGTGGCAGCGGGAGGCCCCATTAGCTAAAGTGGTGCTTCAGGTTAAGAACAGTTTCAGGTTAAGAATGGACCTCCGGAACGAATTAAGTATTTAACCCGAGGTACCACTGTAAACACCTAACCTGGAGAGCAAATCTCTTTGAACTCAGGAGGACTTACTTTTGAGTAGATATGCATAAATAAAATAGCTCTCTTTTCTTTCCCGCATAGGAAAGAGATCCGAAAGGATTACCATCTCTTTGGCGTATCACAAAGCACAATTGAGGCACATTGATCCGAACAGGAATTTCGAATCAAATGCGTGTGGTTTGCAAAGCTGACTCACTCAATTTGAGCAAGCTAAAAAATTAAGCGGAACCCCAAGTTTCTTTTAATTTTGATTTTCTTTATTTGGAGACTAGGTTTCCTTATTCTATATGTTTCTGTATTTTATTGGACTTGCAATGTACATGCAATAAGTACTTAAGGTAAATTGCAAAATGAAGGCGCACAGAATATTAAGGAATTCCCAGTTCCAAGCCTTGCCCTTTTAAGAAGGGATTGGTTTTTCTGAACTGTTTCCCCCCCTCATTTTGTTGCTTTCCCCACTCATGCAGATGTACCCCGACTTTGGGCACCGAGGCGATTAATTGTATTTTTCTTTTTCTTTTTAAAACAACAACCCCAAACCATGGTGACTTTGGGTAGCTCTGCCAGGATCTCCAGTGGAAAATGAAAAATGAAAAGGAAACCAAAAATGTGTTTCTCATTGGAATGGAGGGGTCTTGTCCCATTTTTGATCCCCCTCCCCTTTTTGGTGGGGGGATGGAAATTGTAATGAAATCTCTTGCTTGAATGCTGTTCCATGTCCCCAAATGAATGGAGGAGCCATTGTTTAAGGAGTCTGGAATGCAAGGAATGCTGTACTATAGGAATGGGTCAGAGGGATTTAAGTTGATAGAGGAAAACATGTGTCGAACCAATTCCTACCTCAGCCAGTTCGGCCAGACATCTTTTAGGCTGTGCAAAAACCTGAGCTGAGAAACTTAAATTCTGCACTCGGTTGTATAGGACTAAAATTTATTTATTTTGACTCTCTTTCCCCCCCTGTTTCTGTTATTTTTAATCAATTTTAAGCAGTGCGATTAATCAAGTAAAAGATTTTGTTGAAATGTGCCCTTCTAGTTAACGTGGTAAGCGGCTCCTTTCTTCGTCTTGAGATTTTCTTGGACAAAAAAAAAAAAAAAAAAAGACCCTTCGAAGGCTGGCCTTTGGCTCCCAGTCTGTTTCTGAAAGCCGCCTGAAAGCTTTGTGTACTTCAGGGTGAAACTGTGAGGCTTTTCATTCTCATCACAGGCAACGGAAGCTGGCAAATCCTCACTTGAGGAAAATGGCAGTATGTTTCTAAAAACTGGATCTTTGGTAATATAAGCAGTCTTTAAACTCGACTAACCTTTCCTTTGCCATGGGGGGAAGCCATTTTAAATGCCTGTCTCTACACACAAAGCACACACAGACAGGTGAGACCCTGTGGATTATCTAGTCCAACCCCCTGCAGTGCAGGAATACGCAGCTGTCCCTTATGGGGATTTGAACCCGCAACCTTAGTGCTGCGAGCACTGCATTTGATCCAGCTGAGCTATAATGAGGTGGGAATGTGGAATGCTCCTGTTCAGGGTTCCGGCCAGCCATTTCCCTTTCCAGGATACAATTACAGTCATACCTCGGCTTCCGAACGCCTTGGGAGTCGAATGCTTCAGCTCCCGAACGATCGAAAACCGGAAGTGAGTGTTCCAGTTTTCTAACATTCTTTAGGAAGCCGAACGTCCGACAGGGCTTCCGATTGGCTGCAGGAGCTTCCTGCAGCCAATCAGAATCCGCGCTTCAGAAGTCGAACGGACGACTATTCCATTCCAACTCCAGTTTTCCATCTGTCTGCTCCTTCTTTCCCCTGTCAAATCAGCTTTGAGGATTTTTCACACACACTCTTAAGATGTGGGTTTTGTTTTGTTTTTTAGTTAAAAGTTTTTAAAATATTTCTGCAAATCTAGGGGTTCATCTAGGCATGCTAATGAACGGATGGTGCTGATTTTTGGCTGCTTAAGCAGCAGCACTCGTGAGAATGGGTTCCATCATTGCTACATGGGATGTTAAAGGCAACATGGTTTTTCCTTTGGCAAATGGCACCTGCTGTGCATTAAATTCCGAGGCTTCTCATACTTGTTTGCTTGCTTGTTTAGAAAATGTTTTTATACCATCCTTCAACATTTCCGATTTCAGAGGAGCATGCAATGTACAGTCGTACCTCTACTTACGTATCGCTCTGTATATGGAATCTTCAGGTTACGGCCACGGCAAACCCAGAAGTGTATACTTCCGTGTTTCGCCGCGCACGCATGCGCAGAAGTGCGCCTCTATTTACGTTGTTTCCGGGTGCAAACGGACCCCCGGAACGAATTACGTTCGTATCCGGAGGGTCCACTGTATAACCAACACAACAGCAGCACTCCCAGTCAACAAAAAGCAGCAGAGAAAATCTTAAACCAGACTAAACTTCGCTTTGGGAAATTTGCTCTGATGAGAAAGCCCTTATGGTTGATCTTGGTACCTCTAATGATGCATGCCTTCTGCTGAGTCAGGACACTGTCCCATCTAGCTTGAATACTGCCCACACCAGGTTATCTTCAGCCTTTTGAGACCCACTTTTAACCCCTGCATGTATTTAGGGACCTGTTTCTTAATCTTTTGCCATGACGACAAGGTGGCCCTCAACACAGCAGATGTTGAGGTTTCGCAAATATGCAGAGGCCTTCACGGGTCCCATGCCTGATATTTCCTGGTACCTCTCTTTTTCACAGGTTTAACCCCTATTGGTAAGGAACTGTAGCACATAAAGAATGCAATTAGAATGGGAATAAGTGCTGAGGTAGTTGAATCTTGCGTGTAAATGGTCCACACAAAGGGGAGTTGCGTGTTTCCTGGGTGTAGATATTGGGAAGGGTGAGTGGGTCGGCTGAAGAGCTCAGAGGAATAATAGACCCAGATAGATAAAATATGAACAACCAAAAACTTTGGCAGGATTAGAGTAACGCTTGTACAGTCGTACCTTGGGTAACGAACGCCTTGTGAGTCGAACATTTTGGCTCCCGAACTCCACAAACCCAGAAGTGAGTGTTCCGGTTTGCGAACATTTTTTGGAACCCAAACATCTGACGCAGCTTTCTATTGGCTGCAGGAAGAAGCTTCCTGCAGCCAATCAGAAGCTGCGCTTTAGTTTCTGAACATTTTGGAAGTTGGAACGAACTTCCGGAACAGATTCCGTCCGACTTCCGAGGTACCACTGAAATGTATTAAAAACTAAGGTAAAAATGGATTGTTTTAAGAAGAATAGAGAAAATATATGATGCAGTTGAAAATGTTTGATAATGGAAACCATGGAGGGGTCAAGGGAAGGATTCAGGGAATCCTAAACGTTGATGATTAAAGATCAATGTTTGAATTTAAATGTATAATGTAAAATTGAATAGAAAAGATTAAAAAACAAGATAGATAAAATACGATTTGCACGTGGAGAATAGTCACAGCGGATAGCGAGTGATTCGCATAGCCACAGATCTGTTACAGTATTTGCATGTCACCAGCCCTGGATCGCAGCTGCTTGGTGAATTGAGGAATGTCCAGAAAGTCAAATGTTCCACCTGTACTTGTATGTGGCAGCTGCTGCCGAAGGAGGGGATAATTTTGGCTCTGAAAATTCCCAAAGATTCTATTTTGGGAAGCAGGAGTCGTGAGGAGGAGCAAAATTGGGAAAAGAGGTGTCTGCTTGTTGCTCTCGGGTTGGCACGCTTATTAAAATTCTCCGCTGCCGTTACTCTTCTTTAATTTCTTTCTTCTCGGCCTCCCATCTCTCCCAGCCATTAAAAATGAGAGCATGTTTTATAGACAGCCCTTAGGCTCTTTATAGAGATCCTCTCTCTCTCTATTGACCCCCTGAGATTCAAACTGACGCTCTCCGAGTGTAATTTTGCTCGCCCCATCTCCTTCCGATGGATGCGATTTTCAGAATGCTCTGGAGAGCCAGACAGGAGACGGAGGACTCAGATCCCGAAGACTTTGGAAGCATTAGGAGACAGAATATGATGTCTCGGGTTTTCCTACAGGATGTGGTAAAAGCTAGGAGACCTAGGGAGCAAGGGGGATGGGGTTGGTATGGTTGATGGATGCTCTTTCGGCTTGTGCTATGATGACCCAACATTTTGGAACAGCTGTCAAATAATCCACCTTGCGGAATAATTTAATACCAGGTTGAGCCACTTATTCGCATTCAAAGCTGGGAGGACTGCTGCAACAAAGTGGGCATGGTTTGTGGCGGTAGCAGCTGCTACCCCAGGTAGAATTTGAAACAATAAATTAGAATTTTTGTTTACAAAATTAGGGAGCCGACGTGAAATGCCCAAATTAGAACGGGAGTTGTGGCACCATCCCAAGCTCCCCAATGTTTATGATGTAAGAATATATGAAATGAGAATGTGCATTTTGGTGGTGATACTAAGATGGTATCCTATCATTAGTTATTGGAGAAGTCATCGTTGAAACCGTGTTTGCGGATTAAACCATACCGTGTAAGCGTCCCGATGGCATGAGCAGGTAAGCAGATGAAGAAAGGAAAGCACAACGTTATTTCCAAAGAGCCAGTGTGGTGTAGTGGTTAAGAGCGGTAGTCTCGTAATCTGGTGAACCGGGTTCACTTCCCCGCTCCTCCACATGCAGCTGCTGGGCGACCTTGGGCTAGTCACACTTCTCTGAAGTCTCTCAGCCTCACTCACCTCACAGAGTGTTTGTTGTGGGGGAGGAAGGGAAAGGAGATTGTTAGCCGCTTTGAGACTCCTTAGGGTAGTGATAAAGTGGGATATCACATCCAAACTCCTCCTCCTCCTCCTCCTCTACTTCTTCGTCGTCTTCTTCTTCCAAAGCCCAGGGTTTTGTCTTGCTTCTCCCTGACAAGCTAGGATTCACAAACCAACAGTAAACCTTGGTTGTGGCTGGCAGGCCATCCCAGGAACAACTCATAATCCGGGTTTTGAGGTAACACTAAAGTTATCCCCCTTGACCTGGTTTGTTTATCTGACTTATGCAGAGGGAAGATTCCAAAATGGGAACGACTGGGATTTCTACACTTTGTGGTTTATTAAGCCAAGGCTCTTTGTCAAGGGACGCGGGTGGTGCTGTGGGTAAAACCTCAGTGCCTAGGACTTGCCGATCGCATGGTCGGCGGTTCGAATCCCCGCGGCGGGGTGAGCTCCCGTCTTTCGGTCCCAGCTCCTGCCCACCTAGCAGTTCGAAAGCACCCCTAAGTGCAAGTAGATAAATAGGTACTGCTTTATAGCAGGAAGGTAAATGGCGTTTCCGTGTGCTGTGCTGGTGCTGGCTCGCCAGAGCAGCTTCGTCACGCTGGCCACGTGACCCGAAAGTGTCAGCGCTGGCCCCCTGCCTCTTAAGTGAGATGAGCGCACAACCCTAGAGTCGGACACAACTGGCCCGTACGGGCAGGGGTACCTTTACCTTTGTCATATGCAAACATGGGCAATGGAAGGCCCCATCTGCACTGTACGTTTAAAGCACTTTCATACCACTTTAACTGTCATGGCTCCCCATATATATATATATATCTGTAATTTATGAAGGATGCTGAGCATTGTAAAGAGATCCCTTTTCGCCTCACAGAGCTACAATTCCCAACGGTTCTTGGGTAGAGGGATTGATGGTTAAACCACTCTGGGAATAGTAGGGGAATGAAGGAGCGGTCTCCTAAGAACTCTCAGAAGCCTTAACAAACTACAGTTCCCAGGGTTCTTTGGGGGAAGCCATGGCTGTTTAGATGCTGCTTTACATGTATATGGCAGATGCACAATGTGGCACATAGAGACATGAATTTTGGAGGTCAAACCTGTTACGGTTGGTCATTTGTCAACATTTTAAGACTGTTGCCAAACAACCTGTCGTCCTCCTCTTTCTTCCTGTTTTTCCTGTTGACCTTACTACAAAATGTGTATTGCATTCTGTTAGAAGATGAAATAGTTGTTTGCTTGGAACTCAGAGCCTTCTTCAGGCACAGAAGGAAAATAGCTGGCAGGTAAAGGTAAAGGACTCCTGGACGGTTAAGTTAAGGCGCTATGAGGTTGTAGCTCTTATCTCACTTTCAGGCCCAGGGAGCTGCCGTTTGTCCAGAGACAGCTTTCCGGGTTGTGTGGCCAGCATGACTAAACTGCTTCTGGTGCAACGGAACACGCTGACAAGCCAGAACGCACGGAAACTCAGTTTACCTTCCCACCACAGCGGTACCTGTTTATCTACTTGCACTGGTGTGCTTTTGAACTGCTAGGTTGGCAGGAGCTGGGACAAAGCAACGGGAGCTCACCCCGTTGCGACCTTCTGATCGCCAAGCCCAAGAGGCTCAGTGGTTTAGACCACAGCGCCACCTGTGTCTTCAAAGAACTCAAAAGCCGCCTTCAGCCGCAGAAGGGAAATAGTTGGCGTGGAGCATTGGACCCCTGCAATTTCTGGCAGGAAGAAGCCTCAGCGTTGGCCAGCTCTAGTATATAAATACTCGGAGCCTGATCTTCTGCTTTTGTCTGATCAACAGACAGGTTACTTGCTGCTGTCGGCCTCGAGCTTGCAGCTCAAGGATCTTTAACTGGAAGGTCTCAATCAGGGGTCAGCAAGCTTTTTCAGCAGGGGGCCAGTCCACTGTCCCTCAGACCTTGTGGGGGGCCGGACTATATTTTGAAAAGAAAAAAATGAACGCATTCTTATGCCCCACAAATAACCCAGAGATGCATTTTAAATAAAAGGACACATTCTACTCATGTAAAAACATGCTGATTCCCGGACCATCCGTGGGCCGGACTTAGAAAGCGATTGGGCCGGATCCGGCACCCGGGCCTTAGTTTGCCTACCCATGGTCTAGATGCTAGCCCCAGCTCGGCCCTGTCTCCCACAAGTTAACAGCCATCAAACGGAAGTTAGCCAAGCCTTATCTTCTGAGCATGCCTGGAGGGGTTAACACCACTGTATATCAGTGCCTCTAATCCATGCTAAATCCCTGAGGCATCCCAGCAGCGCTTCCTGATCAAGTGTATCGGGGCCTAGTAAGACCAATGGGGTCGCACCCCCTCAGTCCAGGACTACAAGCAAATTGTCTATCTGAATGACCAAATCTGTCTCTGTCCCCTTGCAAAGACTGGAACCAGACTGCTTATAGATAGACAGGAATTAGCAAACAAAAAAGTTTAATACATGAGTGCCTGGGCCAGATAGATGAGTGTATGCTTTCAGAACAAACAAACAACAACAATTTATTATTTATACCCTGCCCAACTGGCTGGGTTCCCCCAGCCACTCTGGGCATCTTCCAGCACATATAAAAACGTAATAAAACACTAAACATAAAAAAAAAACTTCTCAATATACGGCTGCCTTCAGACGACTTCTAAAAGTTATGTAGTTCTTTATGTCCTTGACAACTGACGGGAGTACGTTCCACAGGGGGGGCGTCGCTGCCGAGAAGGCCCTCTGCCTGGTTCCCTGTAACCTCACTTCTCACAGTGAGGCAACTGCCAGAAGGCCCTTGGAGCTGGACCTCAGTGTCCGGGCCGAATGATGGGGGTGGAGACGCTCCTTTAGGTATACAGGGCCGAGGCTGCTTAGGGCTTTAAAAGTCAGCAACAACACTGTGAATTGTGCTCTGAAACATAGGGGGAGCCAGTGAAAATCCTTTAGGACTGGTGTTACCATATTTTTCGCTCTATAAGATGCACCAGACCACAAGACGCACCTAGTTTTTGGAGGAGGAAAACAAGAAAAAAATATTCTGAATCTCAGAAGCCAGAACAGCAAGAGGGATCGCTGCGCAGTGAAAGCAGCAATCCCTCTTGCTGTTCTGGCTTCTGGGATAGCTGCGCAGCCTGCATTCACTCCATAAGACGCACACACATTTCCCCTTACTTTTTAGGAGGGAAAAAGTGAGTCTTATAGAGCAAAAAATACGGTATATGGTCTCCCGGCGGCTGCTCCCAGTCACCAGTTTAGCTGTTGCGTTCTGGATTAGTTATGATTTCCAAGTCACCTTCAAGGTAGCCCCACGTAGAGATCACTGCAACAGCCCGAGCGGGAGATAACCAGAGCATGTACCACTCTGGCAAAATATGCTCACCTAGCTGACCAACCCATGCTGAGTTCGAAACTGGCTGATGATGTCCTGGTTCTCCTGGATTAGGTGATGACGGCTTGAATTCTGACTGCAGCCTGAGTCCTTTTAAAGTAGCTGGTAATTCTTCCCTGAGAAGGAGGGAGGTGGTGCATGTCCTTCTGAGTATCTTGACTGCCTGCAACAGGCAACAGTAGCGCGCTCCTTATCTGACCAGATTATGACCTGGCGGTGGACTGGACATGTCTGGTGCAGGACCGGCCGTGCATACAGCCCGTTGGGTTGGACGCGAGCCATTTTTATCTGTAAAATGAGTTTCCAGAGTCTTTTAAAAGCCAATTAAGTCCATAAGCCTCTGGGGGCAGACTATCTTAATAGGTTTGTTGCAGAGGTCTGGAGCACACCGTACAAGTTCATGGGCACTGATCATGGGTATGCAAACGTTGAATGCACCAGATTCATTCTAGCTTATTATTATTTTGTAATCTGTAGACAGCCTTCTTTTACAGTATACGAGGAGCAGCCTTGAGGTGCTCTCTAGAGAATCTTGTAGCGTTGTTGTCAGACGTGATTTTCAGATTGGTTTTCTAATAATAGGATTATTGTTCTGGAGGTGTGGAATTTGTGTTTATTTGATTTTTGCACGTGGAAATTGTATTTTAATTTTGTAAATTGCTCAGAGAGGAAATTTCCTTCATAGGGCAGCCTCGAAATCTTCAAAACAAACACTAAAAATGGTTTGGGCACAATTGCACATCAAAACCAAGGAAAGCTTCATCTGTTGAATTTCTGCATGTCATAAAGATGTTTAAGGTCACAGGAGCCTTATCAGATGTTAATCCTACAGTACAATAATTAAAATTATGTGAACCGCCCTGAGACCTTCGGGTATAGGGCGGTATAGAAATTAAATAAATAATAATTATAATAATTATAAAATAATTATCCTTCGTTTTAGGAGCCGCAAAATTCAGATAAGAAACATCCCCCCTCAGTTACGATGGGAGGTAAGTGAGGTCTCTGACAAGTGCATAGTCTTAGCATCTGTGTCTGAAATGTCTTTTTAATAAACTGGAAGCTGCATGCTGGATGAGTGAGCTTTGGGATACTTTGAGATGTGTGAATGGGGCAGAGCAATGGAGATTATTAGATTTTCCGATTCCCTTCCGTTGCAAAGAAAAGAACCCCTCTGGAGCGAAAGGAAAGAGACCAGATTAAATGGAGTTTCCCTCTTGCAACGCATGCATTTCCTAAACAATGGTGCATGTTACTTAGCTAATCTAACCGCTGAAATAAATAAACCGCTGTTTATTTACAATAGCATGTTTGCATACCGTATGAGTACATTTTCAGGTTTTTTGAGCTCTGCTTTGAGACCTTGGCTCCATCTTCAGTATAGATTTAAGAAAGTAACCTTGCCTCTTCAAACACTCAGGGCACGCTCCAAAGAATCCGGGGAACTGTGGTTTGTTAGGGGGACTGAAAGTTGTCAGGATATTCCTATTTTCCATCACACGGAGCTACAATTATCCAATTGGTTGTCAATCCCTCTTCCCAGGGAACTCTGGGAATTGTAGTTCTGGAAGTGGAATAGGGGAGTCTCCTAGCAACTCACAGCACACTTTACAAGCTCCAGACTCCCCAGGTGTTTTTTTTTGCGGGGGGGGGGGACGATTTTAAATGTACAATGCAAGTGAGTTCTTCGTCTCCTGTGGGCTGTTGTTGCTTTGTCCTTCATTTTTGGCATTTCCTTTCCTGATTTTTACCTTTGGTGAAATTTTCAGTGTAACTCTTTCTTTCTCTTCCACAAACCACTTATTTTTGTTTCTTTCACATCTGAATAGGTTCTGGATGGTTTGCTAGCTCAGTATGGTACTGTGGAAAACTGTGAACAAGGTAAGGACCCTTGAGATGTTTCAGAGAATGTATATGGGTGGGCCTTGGAGCAAAAGACCAGGGCAATGGATGAAATAGGCTGTAACCACTGAGCCTCTTGGGCTTGCCGATCAGAAGGTTGGTGGTTCAAATCCCCACAATGGGGTGAACTCCCATTGCTCTGTCCCAGCTCCTGCCAACCTAGCAGTTTGAAAGCACACCAGTGCAAGTAGATAAATAGGTACCGCTGCAGCGGGAAGCTAAATGGCTTTTCCATGCGCTCTGGTTTCTGTCACGGTGTTCTGTTGTGCCAGAAGCGGTTTGGTCCTGCTGGCCACATGACCTGGAAAGCTGTCTGTGGACAAACGCCGGCTCCCTTGGCCTCAAAGCGAGATGAACGCCAGAACCCCATAGTTGCATTTGACTGGACCTAACCGTCCAGGGGCCCTTTACCTTCCCCCCCTTTAATCATAGAATTGTAGGGTGGGGACCCTGAAGAGCATCTAGTCCAACCCCCTGCGATGCAGGAATCTCAACAGACTCAATATCTGATAGGTGGCATTCTGACCCCTTTGCTATTCATTCATTCATTCATCAGATTTCTGGACTGCTGTTCCTTACACATAGTGATCTCAGGGTGTGAGGTTACAGCATAACATATTGCACAGACTCTGCTCAGGACAGAATTTGTGGCATATGGTTAAGGGTGAAACGCATATTCGTAAACAGACGCACGTTATAACTCTAGCAGAAGATCCCAGATCTCTTTGTTGTATGCATGTATGAATACACGTGAGTGCTGGACATGTGTGTGGGTTTAGACACATATATGTCACCGCATGCAACAGGGGCAGCAATAATGCCACGCACAATACCTAGCGGAAATGGCAGCGTTCGGTGTGGGCTGAGCCCAGGGCTGCCAGCAGGTGCCTGGTCATCCTGACACCACCCCTGTGGTCCAGTCTGCTGGGAATTGCGAAAAAACAAACTTCTTTAAGCTCCATCCCTTGCTTTCTCTCATGGGTGGTGATGATTGAGGTTGTTTAATACACAGTTATTTTGATTGATGATAAGGGTGCGTGCTTTAGCTAACTGCGATTTCTTCCTCCTCCTCATCAAGTGAATACGGACAGTGAGACGGCGGTTGTCAACGTCACCTACTCCAACCGGGAACAGACCAGACAGTGAGTTTTTAAAGTACCTTTATTGGCTTGTAATTGTTATCTGACTTGGTCCTTGGGTGTGTTCACAATTCTGCGCAGGACTTCAAATTCTGTGGCTGGCAAACCCCCCCCCCCCCCAAAATACATTTGCTGCTGCCTGCCTCCTTAATTTATTTCTGTTGCAAAATCTGTGACTTGTTTATTACAGTGGTACCTCGGTTTACGAACTTAATCTGTTCTGGAAGTCCGTTCTTAAACCGAAACTGTTCTTAAACCGAGGTGCGCTTTCCCTAATGAGGCCTCCCACCGCTGGTGCCCTTCCACCATTCGGATTCCATTCTTAGACCGAGGTATAGTTCACAAACCGGGACACTACTTCTGGTTTTGCAGAGTTTTTAAACTGAATCGTTTGTAAACAGGACTGTTCTTAAACCGAGGTACCACTGTATTTATTTAAGTGCATTTATATGTCTCACCCCCCCCCAAAGTGATATCAAAGCAATGTTTGGACTGTAACACAGTTGATTAACATTTTCTTCCTCTTCTGGAGACCACATTCTCAGGGTTGTGTGACAGTGGTGATTTAGTCTCCCAAATAGAGGCAAACAACCCTCTCCTCAGTTGATCTGTGCACCCCCATCATTCTACCCAGACACTGAGGTCCAGTTCCGAGGGCCTTCTGGCGGTTCCCTCACTGTGAGAAGCCAAGTTACAGGGAACCAGGCAGAGGGCCTTCTCGGTAGTGACACCTGCCTTGTGGAATACCCTCCCACCAGATGTCAAAGAGAAGAACAACTACCAGACTTTTAGAAGACATCTGAAGGCAACCATGTTTAGGGAAGCTTTTAATGTTTAACAGACCACTGCATTTTAAAATTTTGTTGGAAGCCGCCCAGCGTGGCTGGGGAAATAATAATTTATACCCAGCCAGATGGGCGGGGTATTAATAATAATAATAATAATAATAATAATAATAATAATTTATTATTATTTTATGACTGGAGAAGGGAGGGGTGGTTCGCCTCCCCATGAGATTGCTGGGCTGGATAGGGAGGTTTAAAGCTCTCTTCCCACCTCAGCAATGGTTGGCTTTCTGCAGCATGAGAAACGGCAGAAGAACACCACAAGGAAGATATTTGGGTGACCATGACTGGGCCTGTGAAAAGTTGAGTGAGCAAAACATGGCAGTTTAGCACCAAACTCCGAGCACAGAAGCATCTCAAAAAGGGTTCCTGACTGGACGCCCCTCTCTCCCCCTGCCATGATGCAATGTGTAGAAATAGCAGGGGTTGCAGCAGCATTAAAAAAAGAAAAGAAAAAAGAATTTCAGTATCGGATTTAAAGGTAGCAGCCACCGCCATGTGTTGGGATGCTGGGATGTGTTACCAGGTTGTCCCATAATGTGGCCTTGTTAATGGTAACACCCCCATCTATAGGTGGCTGTGTGGAACTGCAGCCCATTGCTAAAATTATACTCTGGCCTTGCTTTCTTAAGGCATGTTGCAATCCTAGATCTCTGATGAGTTTACCTCAAATACAGTGATACCTCGGGTTACATACGCTTCAGGTTACACACTCCTCTAACCCAGAAATAGTGCTTCAGGTTAAGAACTTTGCTTCAGGATGAGAACAGAAATCGTGCTCTGGCGGTGCAGCGGCAGCAGGAGGCCCCATTAGCTAAAGTGGTGCTTCAGGTTAAGAACAGTTTCAGGTTAAGAACAGACCTCCAGAACAAATTAAGTATTTAACCTGAGGTACCACTGTAAATAAATAAAGAAGCTTGTTTGTTTGTTTGTTTGTGGTAAACTCCTTAGAGATCTAGGATTACAACATACCTTAAGAAATCAAGGCCAGAGAATGAATATGTGTGTGTGTGTGTGTGTGTGTGTGTGTGTACATATACAGTATATATATATATGTATATGTATACATACACCATATGTTTCCGTGTATAAGACTAGGTTTTTTTCCTTAAAAATAATGTCAAAAATCAGGGGGCATCTTATACATGGGGGCATCTTATAGCCGGAAAAAATACGGGTGTATGTGTGTGTGTATTCCTTCATTCATTCTCCACCTCCAAAACTGTTTCATCACATTTAGTTTAAGGTGAAATGTACATCTTGACAAAATCTTAATGTGTAGCGATAAAAAACGTCAGGATATGAAGTGATTTTTAAAAATGCCATTACTGATGGCCATTTCAAATTAATGGTGGTGGAGGGGAGAGAACTGCCCATATATCAGCTTCCTTTCCCTTTGGCAGAAGTGAATAAGGAGAAGGGAAAGGCAAAAAAAATCACTGGAAATGAGAAGCAAGCAGCTGTGGCAATCAGAAGAGTGAAGAGGGCTTGTGGGTTTCAAAAGGGGGTGGGGGCAGATGCATGAGGAACCTTCCGGCTTTTCAAAATGGCCTTGTTGCTATATGTTCTTGGCTGCTTTATATATCGGCCTTGCCATGACTCCACCCCTTTTTATTTATTATAATAATACAGCATGTGTGAATGCTGTATTATTATAGTGAAGCCTCTGCTGTGTGAATTGGCAGAACTGGTGCGGTGGTGGCAAGGAACAGAGAATAGTTTGAAGTCCAGCTTCTGTGAGGGAAGGAAAAGTTGTCAGCTGGTTGGGGATTAAAACCTCAGGATAAGCTGAGGAGTGGTCCTGGCCAAAATTGCACACAGTAGTAGTAGGCCTCGATTTCACATGCAGATTTTAACTAACCAGACAGTTCTTTTGACTGCAGATGTGCTGATTTTAGTTTTAAGTGGAGTTAATTGAGCGGCTTCTCTCTGTGTGTATCTGTCCATCTTGTCTTCAGGGCCATTATGAAACTAAATGGCCACCAACTGGAAAACCACGCACTGAAGGTCTCCTACATCCCCGATGAACAAACTGTGCAGGGTGCAGAGAACGGGCGCCGAGGGGGCTTTGGATCGCGGGGCGCCCCGAGGCAAGGTTCACCCGTGGCTTCAGGAGCACCCGTGAAACAGCAGCCGGTAGACATTCCCCTCCGCCTTCTCGTTCCCACCCAGTATGTGGGAGCCATCATTGGCAAAGAAGGTGCCACCATCCGCAACATCACCAAGCAGACGCAGTCCAAGTAAGGCCCTGCTGGCTTAGCAAGTGTTTCCATAGCAACCCCGCTTGCTTACTGCCACACCTTTGCACTGATTTGCTGCCAAGAGTGTGCTAGGTGCTGCATGGGACACAAGGCCGGCCCTATCATTGGGCAGAGTGAGACGTCTGCCTCAGACGCTGGGGGGTGAGGTACTGGAAGGCACAGTGGTGTGTGTGCCAGGCAAGCTGCGTCACATCCCTTCGGATGTCCTGCAGGGCTTAGGCAGAGTGGAAGGCCCTGTCCTGTTGACGCTGTTGAAGCCCAGTTGGTATATGGGAGGCGCCATCTTGTCCTTCTCCCATGGCAAATAAAGCGACTTGGAGTATGCTCTGGTGGAAACTTAGCCCAGAAGGATTTAAGCTGTTAAGACTGGAGGGTCAGAGGCCTGGGGATTGGGATTCAGAGAACAAAAGTGTGCCTGCTCTTGGGCCTAGAAGGCACCTCAGGCTGCAGATGTGGGTGCTGTTAAGGGTGGCACATTGGGAAATTTATTTATTTACAAGGGTGTGTATGTGTCTTTATATAATATATACGTGTGTTTTGTGTGTGTGTGTGTACGCGCACATGTGTACACATTCTTGACCTGCTACAGGGTATTTTCAGTGATGGTCCCCTGTTTGTGGAGTGCCATACCCTGTGAGGTACAAATGTTCCCCTCATGGTTACCTGGCTCATGGAAACCCAACCCACAGGGAAATGATAATATTATTTCGTTTTTTGTGCTACCCTTTCTCTAAGAAAACAACTCTCTCTTTCCATTTCCCCTCACTGCAGCCTCATGACGTAGCTTAAGCTGAGAGACAGGGACTAGCCCAGGAACTAACCCAGTGAGCTTGATGGCTGAGGAGGAGTTTTAACGCAGGCCACCTCAGTCCCAGTCCCAGAGCTCCATTGTTCATTGTTCGAGATTCAAAATTACTTCTACTACGGAAATGTTCCTTTACTGGATGTCTAAGAAGGTCTACAAACGGCCTTGTTCTTGCCTGGGGAGTTTTACACAGTTTTACAGAGGTTGAAAAGATGAATATGGAAGGGAAAAGTCAAGGATTGTGAGATGTGTAGCAAAGATGGGGAGCCTGGGCAGAGGCAGAGGAGCAGCCAAGGGGAGTCAAGTTTCTGAAGCATCTGTTGGGTGGACTTTGGGTTTCTGGTTCTTCGGGCGCATGCTGTGATCCTACTTTTCCGAGTTTTGCTACTCAAGCAGCTGGCTCTTCTCTCCCTTCCCTGCAGAATCGACGTGCACCGGAAGGAAAATGCCGGGGCAGCAGAGAAAGCGATCAGTATCCATTCGACCCCAGAGGGCTGTTCTGCCGCTTGCAAGATGATTTTGGAAATCATGCAGAAGGAGGCAAAAGACACCAAGACGTAAGGCTATGGGCTATCGTTGGCACAAAGTGTGGCGTTGGCTTATTGGATAGTTGTTCATTTCCTTGACATCTGATGGGAGGGCGTTCCACAAGGCGAGCACCACTACTGAGAAGGCCCTCTGCCTGGTTCCCTGTAACCTCACTTCTCGCGGTGAGGGAACCGCCAGAAGACCCTCGGAGCTGGACCTCGGTATCTGGGCTGAGCGATGGGGGTGGAGACGCTCCTTCAGGTATACAGGACCAAGGCCATTAAGGGCTTTAAAGGTCAGCACCAACAATTTGAATTGTGCTCGGAAACGTACTGGGAGCCAATGTAGGTCTTTCAGGACTGGTGTTATATGGTTTCGGCAGCCACTCCCAGTCACCAGTCTAGCTGCCGCGTTCTGGATTAGTTGTAGTTTACGGGTTACCTTCAAAGGTAGCCCCACGTAGAGCGCATTGCAGTAGTCCAAGCGGGAGATAACTAGATCATGCACTACTCTGGCGAGACAGTCCACCTACAAGTAAGATTACAAATCAGATTATAAACCCACCCTGGCCCAGCTTCCAGAAGAGGCCTGTCTGTTCAGGGGTTGGTGTCCCAAGGCATAAGAGGTTGCCTGGAATTGACCTCAGGAACTTGTCAGAAGGTGGGAGTCCAACCCTCTGATTTCACCCCTTTCCCCCCCCCAACTTCTCCCCCCTCATGCAGGGCTGATGAAGTGCCCCTGAAAATCCTAGCCCATAACAACTTTGTGGGACGGCTGATCGGCAAAGAAGGCCGCAACTTGAAGAAGGTGGAGCAGGACACAGAGACAAAGATCACCATCTCTTCGTAAGGCTTTCTTCTCCATTCTATCCCCTCATCCCCTTTCGTTTTGACCCCCTTTTTAAATAAAAAAAGTATTGTATTCACACTAGGGCGCTATGGAGTGTTGAATCTGTGTTTCCCTTCATCCACACAGGAGCAGTTTCTATTTTATGCCTTCATAATCTACCTCAAGAGTTTCCCACCAATACTGTTGGGCAAGGGGTATATTTGTACCGTGTGTTGTCCTCTCCCCTCAGTTAGTTACTTCCCTGCCCACCATAAGTCCTGGAAACTTGAGGTGCATTGTGGGCCAGGGTGCACTCACTTAAATAAAAAAAGTTGTTTTTTTGAAAGACGTATTTTGCACGAAACAGCAGTCAAAAATGAAATGAGATTATGCATGTTGCTCCAAGTTGGGCAAGGATTTGGGGACACTTGCATGAAAGGCTGATGCTTCCTTTCCTCCCCAGGCTGCAGGATTTGACCCTATACAACCCTGAAAGGACCATCACTGTGAAAGGCTCTATTGAGAACTGCTGCAAAGCAGAGCAAGAGATCATGAAGAAAGTGAGAGAAGCCTATGAGAACGATGTGGCAGCTATGAGTGTGAGTCTGCTTATGTTGCACTTTCTCTGGGCATTCAGAAGCTCTAAAGACAGTCCATCTAGAGCTACTGCTATCGGTCTTGGAATCACTGGCTTTCCATCAAAAGGCTCCGAAATCCATTCAGCTGCTTTGTATGAATACGTTATCCTTCAAAAGCCATTACCTAGTCGGTTGTGGACTTGGGAATCTTAATTCTTAGGCCAGGCATCCCCAACCTTCAGCCCTCCAGATATTTTGGACTATAATTCCCATCATCCCTCACCACTGATCCTGTTAGCTAGGGATCATGGGAGTTGTAGGCCAAAACATCTGGAGGGCCTCAGGTTGGGGATGCCTGTCTTAGGCATTGGGTTCTGCATTGTTACTTTGAATAGCATTGGTTCCTCCCTGCCATACTTTCTTTTCCTCTTATAGGTTATAATGGTATGACAAATAAAGTAGGATGCAGATGGGCAGGTGGGATGATAGAAATTCTTGTGGACTAGAAACTTTTGCTAACTTGGTTGCAACATCATAATAAGTTAAGTGGTCAAAAGAGAGGCTGTTAAATGACAGGTGGAGGAATAACTTCTAAGAAGAAATATGTGCATTTCTCTTGATTTGAAGCAGAGGCCCTGAAACAGAGAAGGTTGTTCGCAAATGAACCCACCATAATTATAATGTATTTATTATTTATACCCCGCCCATCTAGCTGGGTTTCCCCAGCCACTCTGAGCGGCTCCCAACAGAATTAAAAGCACAATAAAACATCAGTCATTAAAAGCTTCCCTAAACAGGGCTGCCTTCAGATGTCTTCTAAAAGTCAGATGGTTGTTTATTTCCTTGACATCTGATGGGAGGGCGTTCTACAGGGTGGGCGCCACTGCCGAGAAGACCCTAGTAGTAGCAGCAGCAATATTTAATATTGACATAGGGCTTTTTGAATGTTCAGATTGCAGTAATCTTTACAATAATCGGTAGGCATTGTTATTCTCTATAGTAGATGGAGACTGAGAAAGACTTAATTCTGATGTATTGGTTGCATATGGGCAATCAGTCTCTGGCTTAATGAACACAGGCAATGGGATATTAATGCCCGGTGTGCAAATAATGGGCAGCCCTTTTGATTCTCCCTTGGCGCAAGTGAACAAAAAAGCCAGGAAGCCACAGTTAACCGCAGCTTCCTGTTAACACGCAAAGCGGGAACTATGGTTGATAGCTTCGAAACAAGCCAGGATTCATAAGTCAACCTTACGCTGTGTTTTAAAGCTGGCTTCTGATCCTGGCTTGCTTGGAAGCCATGAGCCACAGTTCCCAATTAGAAGGTAACAGGAAGCCGTGGTTGATTGCAACTTCCTGTCTTCTCCTGCACTCATGTGAAGGCAGGACGAAAGCCGCAGCAAAGGGGTTATGTGCATGTGTGCACGACCTGGATTATTAAGCTAGAACATGAATACCTGCACCAGGCCAATGTCCTACCATGGTTTGGCAAACAGCAGCATCTCTGTGGCTTTCTGAGCTCCCACCTCTCCCATCTTGCACCTCCTCTCTGGTTTTTGCTAGCCATAGTATGCGGTGAAGCCTGAATTTTCAATCTCAGGTTAGTCCCTTACCTCCAGACCTCCAGAGTGCAAACGGCTGTTCCAAGGTTCACACCCACCATAGCTTGACACTGACTGTAGTTAGCAAGAAGCAGGAAGTGGAGGAGGGGTATGTTTGCCTCCTAGGTGGGTCATAAGGAAAGGGTTAAAAATGAGTGTGATGTGATTGGCCAGTGGAAACTGATAGGAGGAGTTAGAGTGAGAGTCGGTGTTGTGTGAAAGTCAGTTGGGAGTTGAAGAAGGAAGAGGGAGGTTTAAGTCTGCGGGTTGGTCGAGTTGTGTGGTGAGGGAGTGAGAGGAATTGTTAGGTGGAGTCACATAGGTAGTTGGAATAATCAGTTTAAAGTTGTTAGGAACGTATAGGACAGTTAAGGAATTAAGAATAAGAATCTGCCAAGAAAAATTAACAGAAACCATAAGCTTGTTCATGCCTATAAAATAAACTTGATTATTTGTTAATGTTAACAACTGTCTGGACTCCGTGTGTACCCGTGAGGAGAAACGGGTTGGGGGCAGCGAAGAAAGCAATCACAGTGGTGGCACAGGGTCAATAGACCGTCAAACGTCCGGGGGCACTGTGTGATCGCCACAGGGACCTATGCATGTGAATGGAGAAAGGAGGTTGGCCGAGGCCCATAAGTCTGCAGTGGTGCCCTTCATTGCCAAATTGTGTGAGTTGCACCACAGTGGCTTGCCTAAAGCCACCTGAGGAATCCCAAGAGTGACGTGAGCTTGCTTCCGAGTTCTCTGCTCCCACTTTATAGCTTGTGCTGCACCGTGCTTCATAAACGTGTCGGGTTCACTGCTTTGGGGTTGCGGAACAGTTTCTCTTTGTTTACCTTGAGCAGCTGATCGGCGCACCGGAACCTGGGTGCATAATGGAAAGTGGCAATGTGCTAAAGTGTGTTTCGGTCCCCTGATTACTCTAGGGACGCCACCTGTGTCCAAACTTGTTTCCATGGGTGCAGAAGTTTATTATACAGAGCCTTTGGCTGCTTTCTTGGCTGTGTAAATCAGGACAAGTTGATTGAATCAGTCTGCAAAAAGCAAGGCAAAACCGCCGCACTGCGAGAAGTGTTTCAGTGCTGCCAGGGAACTGCCATCGGCTCAGGGGCGAGAGGGGAAAAGCCGGATGGATTACAGAGAGCCCCCAAAGATCGTGGGAAGCAGCACTTCCTCAGTGGAGGAAGGAAGCCACGCCTCTAGTGGAGAGGAAATGCAGGGCTGGGAGGAGGCAAGGCGGTGCCAGGACACCTTGCCTGAGCAAAGCGGGGCGGAGGGAGGTCCTCCTTTACCCAAGCCATCCTTGCGCAGTAGGCTTCCGCGCAGAGAGGGGAGGCGCACACTGGGGGTCAAGAAACTATTTAAGCACCGCCCACTCTCAGATTCTGCCAGTGAATGAGCAAGACACGGAATAGAGGGGCTCTGCATTCTAAAGGTTTTTACCACCAATAAGAAAGCTTTAGAACAGACTATTGAGGCATATTGCCTGATTGCTCTTGAGCATCCAACCGACACCTCTAACAAGTGATGACAGCGAATTCACAGTAAAAATGTAGAAATGATTATTTTGCTTGCCATATTACATTTCCTCGCTCTCTTTTTCTTTTAGCTACAGTCGCACCTGATACCTGGGCTGAACCTAGCTGCCGTTGGCCTCTTTCCTGCCTCTTCCAATGCGGTGCCTCCTCCCCCAAGTAGTGTCTCTGGAGCAGCCCCATACAGCTCTTTTTTGGTAAGCTTGAGCTCAACCTGCAGAAAACATGCACTAGCATAGAGCTTTCCTTTTCCTGTAGCGTGTGTGAGCTTCAGACAAAATCACATGCGAGTTCTGCCAAAACAAACAAGCCCATGCACTAAACATTCTGTGACATCATAGCAAGTCAGCCAATGCTGGGTGCACGGCAGACAACAGTTTCAAACCTGGTAGTTTTGGATATCCCGTTTGACTGATACTGACTGGTGACCACAGAAACTTTTATCTCGGCAGCCTCCTGAGCAAGAGACGGTGCACGTCTTCATTCCTGCCCAGGCTGTGGGTGCGATCATCGGCAAGAAGGGACAGCACATCAAACAGCTCTCCAGATTCGCAAGTGCCTCCATCAAGGTGCCCGTTCCATTCTGTTTAATCCCTATTGTTGGTTTTGTTGATTGATGCAAGCCATGATGGTGCTAGAAAACAAAGTAGGCACCCCGGGGTCCCATTTGAACTTCAGGGGAGTTGTGGAAGAGCAACCTGGAATCAGAGAGTTGTAGAGTCCAACCCCTTGCAGTGCAGGAAAACGCAGCTGTCCCATACGGGGATGGAACCTGCAACCTTGGGATTATCAGCACCATGCACTAACCAACTGAGCTATCCAAGCTGATCTGCATCATTTTGTTCATGGGGGAGCTTCCCAGTGGATTATGCCACTACACTTGTGTTGATGCAGCTTAGTGGCACTGTCTGTTCTGCTTGCTATGCTAGAGAGTTTCTTAAAATGTGCAGCAAATCTTTTTTTTAGAAAGGCACAGCCAGTTTGCCAAGAGTGATGCAAATTTCCTTTTATTTCTTCCCTCCCCCCTGTTAGGAAAGTCAGGTAAATAACACAGAGAATGCCCAGAGAGAAAAGAAATCCTGAGGAAACAGAACAGAAACAGTGTATAATTTAATAAGAAAGGAACAGAGAAGTTTTGTCCATCTTGGTTCAGGCCTTGTGCATGGCAGGTACCTGCCCACTGCCTGCCTGCTTAAAGGAGAATCGTGGGGCTACCTCAAAGACCCCTTTTGCAAAGTGCTTTAAGATAGCCTGCCTACTTGTCAGGTTTGGCATGTGAGGCCAATACTGAGAAGGATCTGGCTCTGAGCCAAAAGTATTCCTCACTCCTGGTCCACATGGACTGTCAGCTGTTTTCCAGGTAGGAGAGGCTTTTTCTTGTCCTACCTGGAGATGTCAGGAATATGATCAGGGACCTTCTTTCTGCAACCAAAGCATGCACTCCACCAGTGAGCTGTGGCCCTTCCCTAATTGATTTCTGCAGCTGTCTTGCCCTGGGCTCCTTTAGAGGAAGGTGTAGGGTATGCCATCTAATAAATAACAATCACAATAATTGCCATCAGGAATGGATGGATCATCCTTTGGCTCAGTTCAGTCTGAAATTAGTATCTTGGGAGTAGAGGGTTGGGGAATGAATCCCAGGCTTTGCTGATAAATGGCTCTCCCTTCTGTTCTTCCTCTTGTGTCCTTCAGATTGCGCCTCCAGAGACGCCAGATTCCAAAGTGCGAATGGTGATAATCACTGGACCACCGGAAGCCCAATTCAAGGTTTCTTTCCTTCCTTCTTACAGATCAGTGGCCACATGATTAGAAGCATCGTCTTCATTATTTACTGAGTGCTGTTACTCAGGCCCTGTTGCAGGCTTCAAATAGGCACCCAGTTGGCCACTGTGAGATCGGTTTGCAGAACCAGATGTTACCGCTACTGGTTTTTTATCATTATTTAATCACCACTATTGTGTCACACACGGGTGGCGCTGTGGGTTAAACCACAGAGCCTAGGACTTGCCGATCAGAAGGTCGGCGGTTCGAATCCCCGTGACGGGGTGAGCTCCCGTTGCTCGGTCCCTGCTCCTGCCAACCTAGCAGTTCGAAAGCGCGTCAGAGTGCAAGTAGATAAATAGGTACCGCTCTGGTGGGAAGGTAAATGGCGTTTCCGTGCGCAGCTCTGGTTTGCCAGAAGCAGCTTAGTCATGCTGGCCACATGACCTGGAAGCTGTACGCCAGCTCCCTCGGCCAATAAAACCAATGGGGTGACCGCCGCAACCCCAGAGTCGGTCATGACTGGACCTAATGGTCAGGGGTCCCTTTACCTTTATTGTGTCACAATCCATATGCACAATGCTTTACAAAGTAACACAAGCAGAGAGAGAGAGGGGTCTCTGCCCTGAGGAGATTACGGTTCACATTTCAATAATAAGGGAGGCAACAGTCAGAAGAATGGACTGTATTTTTTGGCAAAGGGTGTTTAGGGAGATAACAGAAATCACTGGGTTAAAGCTGACCAAAAGTCCAGAGGTAGCATTATTATCAATTTACGATGGGATGGAAGATTTGCAGGCTACGAAGGACTTGCTCACAAATTTATTGACAGCTGCACGAATTATGATAGCTAGGAAGTGGAAGGGGCAAGCAGAATATAAAATGGAAGAATGGTACAAAGAGGTGTGGGATATAGCTATTAATGATAAATTAACATGTGCCATTAAGGTAAAACGGGGAATACGCAGGAGAAATGATTTTGGGGAGATGTGGAGGGTGTTTGTAGAATTTGTACTGTTAAAACGGAAAGGGGTCAAACCATCGCAAGAGGTGTTGAAATTTTGGGAGGTTGGATAGTTACATTGGAATAGTCTTGGTGGTGGAGTACACATTTTTATTCTTATTTATCTATGATTATTACTTTGTCAAAAAAATTAAGAATAAGAATAGGCTATTTAAAAGCGCCTTGGTTGTTGTTGTTTTTTTGTCATGGAGCTCTCAGTGAGCAACAAAACAGCAACTAACTCAACGAAGGTGTTGCTGACACTAAGCTCTAGGCGTGCCCCTCCTCTCTAGCCTCTCACTCTGGATCCCTCCCAAGCAGATGAAGGCTGTGTCGAGGGGGGTGGGCTCCTCCTTTGGACCTGTCTGGCCTGTTGCTCAGCAATGTGCGGGACCCTCAAGTGGGGAGGAGAGTCAGCAGGAATGGGACTGTCTTAGTCACACGCTTTGACTCTCAGCTTCCAATCCTGGAGGGCTCACCTTCCCCTGACCCTTCCTTGATCACTCCAGTCTCCTGTTTCTATCAGCTTCCAGCTTGTCCCATCTGCTGACTGCTCCTCAGTGTCCCACCACCAGGCTTCACACTCTAAGGTGTCATCTTTGGTGCCCTCCCTGGGGGGCTGTTGGGCTGGCAGCTCCCCCCCACTCCTCCCCATCCAGCCTGTCCCTGACAGTTTTAAAATACAGTCGTACCTTGGTTTTCGAACAGCTTAGTTCTCAAAACGTTTGGGCTCCCGAACGCCGCAAACCCAGAAGTGAGTGTTCTGGTTTGCAAACTATTTTTGGAAGCCGAACATATTCCGCAGGTTCCGATTGGCTGCAGGAGCTTCCTGCAACCAATCTGAAGCTGCGTTTTGGTTTCCGAATGTTTCGGAAGCTGAACGGACTTCCGGAACGGATTCCGTTCAACTTCCAAGGTACGACTGTATAACCAGCACTAAGTCTTCTGGGCTGGGACAAGGCCAGGGATGTCCCCGGAACTGGTTGATTAATATCCTCCTGGTCTCTTCATTTCCTCCCCACCCTTCAGGCTCAAGGACGGATTTATGGCAAGCTTAAAGAGGAAAACTTTTTTGGCCCCAAAGAAGAAGTGAAGCTAGAGACGCACATCCGAGTCCCCGCTTCGGCCGCAGGGAGAGTCATTGGCAAAGGAGGCAAAACAGTAAGTGAATGGTCAGGTCTGCCAAGGCCTGCTTTGGGGTCAGACCACTGGCACTGCCTTGACCCAAGATGGAGTATGGAGTGTGTCTCACAATGATGGTGTTTGATTATTATTGGTTATTACTTATTGAGAGCCTGCAAGCGTGCTAGAAGTTAAAGCTGGGGCATGGTTCACACTTTGACACCTGCCAAGTGTTTAGAAGAGGTTGAATCCTAAAAGAACTAGACCATAGTTTCTCCCCGCCCCCACATCATATTTTCTTCTCTATTAACGTATATAACATACATAATCTATTCACTCTTCTATCCAATCTCATTTCACTAATACAATAGTTGACTTCCCCCTACCTCTTTACAGCTTCGTCATTTCTCTTTAATTCCTTATCTTTGTACTGTGTTCTAGCAAACTTTCATCCTTCTCTTTATATAATATCTTTCCTCTGTTGTGTTTGTGTGAAATTTACTCTAGGCACATCCAAGTATTACTTTGGGAATCATACTTAATTTTTAAAACAATCCCATTCTTTCTTGATTTTTATGTTTGAGTGATTTCTTATTGCTTCTGTCAGAAACAGAACGACAGACCATAGTTTCTTATGATATCGGAATCAACACTGTCTTGACAAAAAGGGGCATGCAAGTGGCTAGCAAGGAATGATTTGAAGTCATGCCTGGAAGTGTTTTGCCAGCAGTGGTTTGGGCATACCGTAACAGTTTGTGGTGTTACCTTTGCACTGACAAAACCATTGTTTGGGGTGATGCTGTGCCCTCATAGGGTACTGTTTAGAACAGTGTCCAGAAATATTAGGGGAAAAGGAGGAAGAAACCTCTAAAACCATAATTTGCATGTCTGAAACACAAACCATGAAGTTTTAACTATGGTTAGTGCAAAGCATGGTTACCTTTGAACCCAGTCTTATTTTTAAGAGTCTGTAGGAGTAAGTGGAAGGGAATGATAGGGTTTAAGTTACAGAATACAGAATAAGATGGTTTAAATTAACCTTGAGCGCAGGCAAGCTTGAAGTTCTCCTGTTAGCCTTATTAAAGTGGAGTGAAGCTGGACCGCAGGAGCAGCAGCAGTGCCGGAGAACTGAATCAGGGCTGCTTCGTTTCATAAAATCAAAATGCAATTAAGCGTTACTGTCTTTCCACTCGACAGGTCAATGAGCTGCAGAACCTGACAGCAGCAGAAGTAGTTGTCCCGCGGGACCAAACTCCCGATGAGAACGAGCAAGTCATTGTCAAAATCATTGGACACTTCTACGCCAGCCAGGTAGGGGCCATGATAGATCATTCTTGCCATATTGGTGTGGGTGGAAGAGGTTAAATAAGAACTGGACTAAAGACTTCCCCCACCTGATAGTGTTGGGCCAATCGCAAGCTGCACTTTGGAACGGATTCCGTTCGACTTCCAAGGTACGACTGTACTTAATGGAGTTTGTCAGCCCCAGCCAGCGCAGGTAATGGGAGTTGTGATCCAGAACATCTGGCGGAAAGGTTGGCCCACCATATCAGGCCAGTGCCATTGTTATAAACCCGTTTGCCCTCTCTCTCAACCCCCTCCCTGAATCTTTTTCTTGCCAGATGGCACAACGCAAAATACGCGATATCCTCGCTCAGGTGAAACAACAGCATCAGAAGGGGCAGAACAGCCAGACGCAAACACGGAGGAAATAGGAAGTTTCTTTACCCCGGGTGTGTGAAAGAGAAAACAAAAGAGAGAGAGAGAGAGAGGAAGTGATGGACGAACGGATGACATTGACAACGGATGAAACAAAGCCAAGCCGAAAGAGTGATGAGCTGTTGATACAGAACCCTAAGAGTGGCTGGGAATCAGTTTACCGTAGGAGGGCATTAGTAACTTTCTTATAGACGGGTGACTTAATGTCTCACGAGCCAAAGGCAGTGTGCGATTGGCTCCTCGGTCATGCTGTGTGTATATATATAATATATATATGTGTGTGTATGTGTGTTTATTCCTCAGGCATGCAGCACGTATGTATGTAAGGATGTATGTATGTATGTGTATGTATATTTATATATACACACATAAATATGGAGCGGGGAGGGGAATTGGATCGGCCAATAGAAAAGAAAAATCCTAATCGGATCCCATAGTCTGTCGCAGTCCAGTAGCTTGAGGGGGCGGGAGCGTTCTCCCATGCAGTTTGCTGTGCTTTTTACCAGACGAAGGGCAGAGCAAAGGCATGTAAATCACACCCCCTCTCCCCCCAATCAAAAACACTTTTAGGGATTTATTTGGGAAACTTAATCGGCCCTCAACATCCCCACGTCAAAAAATAAAATAAAAGCCACATTAGTTTTCCCAGTCAGCGGGAGAAGGAAAATGGAGTGGGACCAGATTCTCTAGGGTTATCCAACAAACCTTTCTACCTGTTTTTTGGATGACCCAAGTTCTGTTTGATTTGGTGGTTGTGGAACTCTGTGAGGCCTGGTTGTCAGGGTTTTTTCTTGCTGCGGCCGTGTGCCCAAATAACTGGAGCTGCTGAACGTTTTGACCCGGGAGAAGACGCTTCGGCTGACCTTACCGCCATCAGGAAAGCAGCCCCACTCCAGAGGCAAATGGGGTCGCCATGTTTTCCATCCCACAACTTCACCTTGCTTGGTCATGGCAGCTTTCATCTCTAGGTTTCTGGTGGCGCTCGGCTCCGTACCAGTTTCCAGAACTGAAAATTGCTCTTCAGGCCCCACTTGTCAGGTTTTCCCTCACTTTGCTGCGGCCCCGAGCTAAGACTCCCAGCAGGCTTCCGCAACCTGGCGCCCCCTAGGTGTTGTTTTTTGGACTACACCTCCCACAACCACTGACCTTTGGCCATGCTGGCTAGGGCTGATGGGAAATGGAGGTGAAAGGGGGGCACCATGTGGGGAAGGATGACTTGCAGGGTTGCACAAGTAGGCTGAGGGTTATCTGGACCCATGCGCCCTCAGCTTGTGTATACCTGCCCTAAAAGTAAAACCAGCTCCCAACTTTTCATCCCAATGGCACACACACGTCGTTGAGAGGTTTCCTCAAAATATATTTTGAGCATAGAATTCTACCCACGTATTAAGGTTTCCTCCACCCCTTCTTTCTTAGAAATTGTCAACCGATGGGGAGGGTTTGGTTCTCCTTCAATTGGCCACCACATAATCCCTGTTGTCCTGAAAACAAAGAGACGTAGGGAGGGAAAACAAGGCAATAACCCTGTCTTTTCAGAAGTCTCCCCCCTAAAAACCACTCAATGGCTTAATTCAAACATTGATACCAAACCATGGTTTATAGTAGCAATAAAGGAAAAGCCACACAATGGTTTGAGCTTCCCGACACAGAGTGAAATGGTGGTTTAGAGCTTCTTGTCTGTTTCCTGCTTCCATTTCCTCTGTGCCAGGACCTCCAGAGCTGGAGAAAGGGTTGTAGCTATGTTCCAGCAATTCAGATAAATTACAAAACATGATTTGTCAGGGCAGACAGTACAGTGGTACCTTGGTTTACAACCATAATCCGTTCCGGAGGTCCGTTTGTAAACCAAAACAGGTTGTAACCCAAGGAGCGCTTAGGCCAATGGGGCCTCCAAATTTTTTTTGTTCGTAATCAGAAAAAAATGGGTTGTAATCCAAAAAAAGGTTGCAAACCGGGACACACACTTCCGGGTTTGACGTGTTTGTAATCCAAAACGTATGCAAACCAAGACATAGGCAAACCAAGGTATTACTGTATGTCAAACCAAAGTTAGCTTCCTTAGACTACAACCCCTTAGTCGCTTGCCTGGGAGTAAGCCCTATTAAACTCAGTGGGATTTCCTTCTGAGTAAACACATACAAGATTGTACTGTTAACCATGTATTTGGTGTGGTATCTGAATTGAGCCAGCTTCCTTGAAAAGTCTCCAATTTCCTTAATTAATTAAGGAAATAAGTGCATTCTTTCTCCCTCTCTCTCTCTCCCCCCTGACCCAACTGCCCTGGGTATTTTCATTTGTTAAGACAGGGAAAGTATTGAAATAATTAGAAAATCCAGCAATGGGGAAGCATGTCAAAATTTTAATCCACCAAAGTCAGCAAATACTTAATTAGGAGTCCTAGTGGAGTGAATTGCAAAACATCGCTGATAAAAGACAGAAATCATGGGAATGTGTCCCAGAAAATTAGAATACTCGTGAAATATCAAGTTACCAGATTTAAATATATCCAGTTCAAATTTTTTAAAGAAGAAGCTATAGCTTGAACCCAGAGAAGCTTCCTGCAATTGCGGAAGCATCTCTTGATCTGACTCACTCAGCTTATTTCTTCTCTTTTTTGGGGGGGGGGCAGATATTTTATAAGAAACACCCAAACTTGGGGTTTTAGTGGTTTTTTTTTTAATGCACCATCTGATTCTTATAAAAATCCAAGGTTAAAAAACCAAATTTTAGTCATGAGGAGCAGATATGGCTGAGCAAGTTTTTAATTTTTGCTGAAAACGTATGAATTTTTTTTTAACCTAATGGTTAAGTAAGCTAAGGCTGCTTTGTCTTTTTATTTTTGTTTTTAAGAAAGGTTATTTTATACTCCGGTGCCACTCTCTTGAATTTGTGGGTGTAAATTTTGATGCTGCAGTCCAGACCCACATCAAACTAAAATGAAATAAAACCCATTTCCTGTTGCAAGCGCACACAATCCCCGTAATTCCAAGGGACACTTCAGGGTTTATGCTTCTGCCTGCAGTTGACATGCCTCTCACACTAGCCAAACACTCTCCAGAGAAAAATTGAGCATGCTTAAATCCTAATGAAATCACTGCAGCTTAAACCTATGCAGTGTTCTCTGGAATGTCCCTGCCTAGAGACTTTAAATGGATGTCAAGGTCTTTGCTAGGGAGCAAAGCCAACTGCAATCCCCTGGGTTCTGTTGAACAGAAGCTATAGTTGCCCCACCCCCGGTCACCTCTGGCAAATTACCTCCTGCTCTAGGGTAGACTTGTAGCCAGCTGGTGGCTTAAATGCACAGAAGCAGCCTTGGGTGGGTGGCAAGAGGGTGTATTCATGGACCTGTCCTTGCTTAGGGGACTTGTGCCCCGGGGGGCACAGTGGAGACAAGCGAAGGTCACACAGAGACCACGTTGGGAATTCTTGCTTCTGCCCTTGATGGGCCAAACCCCAAAAAGGTCTTTGTACAACGTAGCAATGCTACATCAATGGAGGGTTGTTGTTGTTTTTAAATACACACAGGTCCTTAGATTGCATGACACATGAGTCATAGCCTGGCTTTAAAACCACACCCTTGGGGTTGGGGTGGAACAGAAGAAAAGAAATTGGTTGACATGTTGGCGAAAATTTCTCAGGCCAGAATCCCATGATTTCAGGCACCCACCCAGCCTATGAGAATTAGATCCCCAAATCCTCTTTGGTTAATTCCTGAACAGGTCAGGAGCTCCACCTGTTGAGCGTCCATCTCTTATCACTTTTGGTATCACGTTGCCCTACTTTCAAGGAACCTCAGCGCTTAGTTATACCAAAAAGAAGGGAAAGATGTCTGCCCTGACCCAGAGAACCTGAAAGCCGAGTGTGTCAGGGCAAATGGCTTCCTCCTTGATCTTAACCCATATGTTTGAAATGGGTGACCCTGGGGACTTATACGGTGAAAACCTGTGCATGTCTACTCAGTGGTAAGCCCCATTTAGTTCAATGGGACTTGCTCCTAGGTGTGCATGTATAGGATAGAATTATCAAGGACCTTGAACCCCAGGTTTAAATTACCACCCGCCCCGGGTACTGCTGTAGGAAACAAACCAATGTGTCTGAATCCCGCTCCCAGGGAAATGGAGGAGTCCAGTATGAACACACACCCTCCCCCCCATTATATATGGATTTCGATCTGGGGGTTGGGAAGGGAGGGGAAACTGGGGGGGGGGGGAGAGTTAAAACTGAAACCAAAAGTATTTTTTTCTTGAGAATTGGAATGACTTAATTTTGGAAAGTGGGGAGGGGGGGAGGGAAAGATCTTTTCTGCCACAGGAATGTCGAACGTCTTTATGAGGCGATACCAAATATAGACATCAGAAGAATGTAATGTGGTTACTGATCCCAGTCACTCTTACGCGAACTTTAAAAAGAAAGAGAGAAAAAAAATGTGTTATACAAATATGAATACAATGGATTTGTGAGTATCTGTGAAGGACAGGAAACTGCCTGGCTGGCAGCCAGATTACCGAACAAAGTTTTGTCTCTGCGTTCAGTCAGGCACTTGATGGGTAAAATCTCGCTGTTCCCCTGAAGAAAACCCACCCAATCCCCACAGTGCTCCAGAGAGCTTCAAACTCAGGTGAATCCAGTGCTAATTTTCCTGCCATTTGGATTCAAAATGGATTTGCAGCAGTATCATCCAAAGTATGCTTCTGGGTGTGTTTACGTTCCCCTGTTAACCTAAAAGACCTGCGGGCCTGACTTCCTGCTGTGTAGAATAAGCCCTGCCCACTCACTAGCTTCTAAGAGGGCTTAACTCCAGGTCAGTGTGCATAGGATTGGGACCTACACAGGTGTACATGCAAGCGAATTCCACTCAAGTTCAGTTGCTCTTTCTTCCAAGTAAGTGTGCATAGGATTTCCATTGTCATGGCACACCCGATGTTGCTTGGTCTTAAAAGAGCAGGGCGAGCTGCCAAGTCACCTTTGCAGAGGCAACTGGGGAAGGCAATGTACC